AAAGCTCGTGCACTCGATTATGTGCGCCACGTAACATGCACGGTCGTGGATAAATCCTGAGCGCGTGCGGGGACTCGCGAAGATGAAGATGATGAAGAAGAGGAAGACGAAGAAGAAGAAGAAGAAGAAGAAGGAGAAGAAAAAGAAGAGGAGGAGGAATAAACGAAATAGGCATGCCAGAAAGTGCATGACTAGACTGACCATATATTCGCGATGATGTAACAGGAGAAACCGCAGAGACCACACCCCGACGATGCCGCTCAGCCACGTGCTGTTTCGTAAGCTACCGAGTTTTAGGCAAGGCCATCGCGACCCGAGAGATGCTCCCCATAAGCCACTTTCGAATAGTCGAATAATTCGTGTCCCATTTCGTTTATCGCGCACGCCCCGGCCTTTAACACGCGATAAATAAGATTTGCGACCTCTTATTATGCAGGTATTTCCAGACGTTTTACCGAGAAACGTTTAATGCACCTAGGTCGTCCAATAAGTATATCTGTACCCTCTCCGTGGAAGAGGAAACCAAGATAACATTGTATCCAAGTAAACATTCGAAATTTAAGAATAATCACATTCTTCGAAATATTTACCGTGCAAAATTTTTCACCTCAAGTCATGGTTAAACAACGCGTAAATAAAATAAAAATTATTCCAAATAAAAAAGAAATATACTTGTGCGTGCGTTACACGATACCTCGATAAATCATATAAAAGGATATAATTCCGAATCGAATGGAAATTTATCGTGCATCGTAAACGATATATCATCGACCGTGGTGATCGGCCAATGGCGATGGGAAAGGCAAAGCTTTAAAACGGAAGTTACGGCGGGGGTGTAATAACTCGTTTTATTAACTGACCTACGTTCGAGTTCATCGGGCAACTTCGTTACCATTAATCCCCGGCCTTAGCGAGAACTGTCGAAGGTTCTTGAACCGGGAGCGCAATAATTACTTCGTGAGAAACTTGGTGGCACCGTGGCGACCGTTTCCGGGTGGAAAGAAGACCAAGTTTGCGGTCTCGTTTCGAGCCCGCCTCGTCGGTTGTCGCTCGTTAGCGCGAACAACGATCCGCGTGTCTCCGTGTCTCACGGAGAGAGAACGGGAGCAATTGGGGCCAACTGTTTTCGCACGGACTGTCGATTTCAATCGATCTCCGGAGCCACGATCGGGTGAAACGAAACGTGAAAATGAAACGGAACGGAATCGATTCGATAAAAAGGGAGGGAGGGTAAATATTAATTTCGAGGGAGGGTGGTGCCGCGAGAATTCCATAGAAACTATCAATTTATGACTGGCGCCAGCGGCGCGCATTGGATAATGGCCAACGATGTAGGAACGTCGTTAATCACCGGCACAGCTCGGTTATTCGCTAAGTCGAAAATGCACCGGGCCCCGGTTAGAACGGGGTCGTGAAATAATACCGCAACTGAAAATAACGAACGGATGTGCCGCGGTGGTTAATCCACAATCGCGCGCGTGTATAAATATTACACGAAAGGCGCGGTGACCGGACAAAAAGAAACGCCTCTCTCACTGTACACTGTAATCAGGAACGCGGGACAGGCATAAAGCAGCGTCATACAGGGCATAAATAACGAGAAAATTGCCAATAACTTCGAGACGTACATTCCGTACCCCGTGTTACGTTTGATCTCGAAAATAGTTCACGATTTATCGTCCAGATTTCCAGATTACGCTATCTCGCCGAGAACGAGGAAGGGGGGAGGAAGAAAGAAAAGGAAAAAGAAGATCAGGAAGAGACGAAGAAGAATGGATTCAGAATGGAGCTCCTGTGGCGTTATCGAAACGCAACACTGTACACCCTGGATTCTCTTCTCCTATCCACGTACATGTATATGTATATATATATATATACACGCGTGGTTGGACACATGGCGCGCGTACGATCATGAGAACGGGCTGCTATAAATATTCGATTCGCTGCTCTAATCTGTTGGTGGACGAGATTATAATACCAGGTCTTACCGGGTCTACCCGGGGCCTGGTATTCCTCGAATGGAAATAAAACGCGTGTAGAGCAAAGGTGGGCAACGTGGACGGACGGGCAACCATGCGAATACGCGGGCTTCGAGTATGCGCCGGTGCGTATGCACACAAGAGTGGCATACGTATATAGTTAGATATACATAAGTGGAGACCGGCTGGTTGGCGCCACTAGGTCCTCTCCGCGTATAGGTGTAACGCGTAATAAACGTAATATCGTATGGGCCGATATGACCCGGGCATTATGTTCCTTTACGAGACGAAACCGAGGGATTATATCTCTTCCTCCTATTGCGCGCACAATCTTTCTTAATCGGCGTATCGGGATACGATGAGGCGGCGGCGACGACGTGGGGAGGCCGGGAAGGATTTATAACGCGTGATGGGATAATACGTTTCGTGTTTGTGCTTCGGGTAAATCGATTCGGTCTAAATGAAAAGGTTCGATGGAGCCATCCTCGGCTCGTTATTTCCGTGATGAAATGTACTTTGCGCGAGCTCAGAGTGAGATGTTTATTTAAAAATATATGTAAAGAGATAACTTTAAATATTTCTTCGACGTGTTTCACTTCTGATTTATCGATAATTCAATTCTTCCCGATCGATTTGCGCGGTCGTCTATGATATACACATGATCTAACGTTCATGTATTTTATTATATTTTTCGATCGATTATAATTACTTATTTATTTATTTGTAGATTTTTAGACGAAACGCGGGAAAAAGGTACACGTTCGATTTTGTACAGGGTAGTATATAATTCCGTTATACAAACGCGAGAGGATCAATCGTTAATTCGATGCCTGCAGGTACTCACATTCCTCGATACCAGAGGGGCTCGTACACCAGAGTCAGAGTTCATGTTCTCGTATTTTCTGTCGTACGATTCATCGAAAATCGATTCCTCGGCAGCGTACTGAATTTAATTACACGGACAATCGGTTTCGCCAATCGAATATCAAACTCTTCCATTTTGCAATCTCCCCTTCCTTTTTTGCTCGATGATAACCAACAAGAAAGATACAAAATTTATATTTTACTACGACTGGTTAATATAATGGTTAATAATGGTGGCGTGGTCAAATTTTGAATATTGATCCAAATAGTCGGAGGTTTCGATACCCAACTTGAATTTATTATCGCTTAATAAACCTCGTGTATTGAAAATGATAAATAGAAAGACCACACGCACGCACGCATCGAATCCTCTGCATCGAATCGATGAAAAGAGGTGAATTCGATTTAAAATATGCTCCCACGAAATGGCCAGGTCCTAGCCATGAATATGAAATTCCCTTTTTTTTTTTTTCTTCTTCTTCTTTTTTTTTTATATACCTTCGCACGCGGGTTGGGAATAGCAAAACTTAATGGATTGAAATGTATGCATACTATTCGAAATCCCGAGTATCACATTTTCTAATTTGATTTTCTACCACCTCGTTGACAGCCAATTGCCAATAGAAATCCGACAGCATTAGCATTTCATTAACATAATTTAAGAAATTTTTCGAATTACTTAATACGTTAAGTAAGTTTCACGCTGAAAATATCCAAGATATGCTAAAAACAAAATTTTTTTACTATCCTGTTATCTCATGAAACACGAAAATATACGCTCTTTCTTTTCTCACGTGTTCAACGCGATCGTGTACTACGGGAAGATCTTTTTACGGGAAAACTCTTTCGAAAAATTCTCGATTCACGACGATTCCTTGCCAATTAATCCTCGTTTTCTCGATAAAACGACTTTCTCACATCTTTCTATCATCGCGGAAACCATTCGCGGTTATCTGGATCGGCAAAATCGCAAAGAGCAAAGAGGAACGACGATCGGTTGGTCCTCGACTAATTAGTATCATGAATTATTCATATCGGCGAGCTCGTGTCGTTTAAACAACATAACGATGATAAAATATAAGGTGAATAAAAGGGCGAGCATTTCGTTCGCGTGTAAGCGAGGAAATGGACAGATATAATTCTTTTTTTTTTCTTTTTCTCATCCGCAGAAGCACGCGATAAAAAAAACGTTTCTACGAGAGATGGAATTAACGTAACCCTCTTCATCCGTCTTTTATTTCCGATATTTATGATATTCGCTCAAGTCTCGAGCAAGTAACGCGCCAACGCTGTGTTGTTCACTCTCCCGTCCTATTTAGATTTATCGTTTTATTTACATGCACATGCGGCGCACAACCGTTCGACAACAATATCCCGAAACGATCGCGTTTAACTTCCACGTTTCTCGGTTGAAACGTAAAATCTAAAATTGTTGCCGGAGCGCGGAACACGTGAAAGTCGGGCACAAATGTTTGGAAACAGTCGGTTGAATCGATCGTTATGTACTTGATTAGAATCCGGAGTGCGTATGTACGTATGTATGTATGTACGTATGTATGCATGTACGCGCACGATGAGGCGCGACTCTGCGTTTCCTCGTTGCACGATTAGCGAAGTTTATTTTGGCTCGCGAGCCGGTATGATGTCATCGTTTTGATTGCTAGTTCAATAAAGCGGCAAATATTAACTTCCAGGCGAATACATTCAAAGTGCATTCAGACTCGCGAAAATGATGTTATCGATGTACGATTGACATCAACGAATCGATCGAAATTTATTCTTATCTTGAAATTTTATTCACCTTATCGCACAACGAAAAATCGATAATAGATTTCTGTCTTATCGAACGTGCACCACGCTTCTTCGATTTCTAATGAAACGAATGAGTCGATTTTAACCGTCTAACACTTCCTTGCACTTGTTGCATTCGAAAAGCACGCTATATACCATTATGTACACCTTCGATCGGGAACAATGGGAAAAAGCGCGAGGGAGAACAAAAAGTTCGAATACGAAAAAGAAGGATTCGAAAAGCGTAACGTTAAAAGAAAGAAAGAAAGAAAGAAAGAAAGAAAGAAAAAAGAATACGAGAAGAAAGAAGAAGAGAAACACGAGAACGCTCTCAAGTGTAACGTGAAAATCGTACACGCGGTATACCTTTCCTCGTGACCCCTCGTGGCAGATCCTTCCGCTTCTTTCCTCGCGCACTTTACTTCCACACTCTACCTTTCTCTCCGTTACTCTCCTTGACCTCAAACGGGTGCAATTATTCTTCGAATAATTCTTGGCAGGACGATAGGGACGATAGAGATCTCCACGGGATCCCGGGACCTTCTCGTCGATCCAAGCGCCGCCGTGCTCCGCGCGATTTGATTCGAGTCGCGTGCACCGCGCCGCGGAAACGAATTTCGTACCGGCGAAACGTAACGCGCGCCGATGAATCTCTCTCGTGTGCTTTTTTCCTTCCCCCCCCGCGATAACAACGCGACTCCCCTCCTCTCGACTTGTGCGAGTGTCGGGCCTGAATGTCGCGCGATCAATCGGAGGATCCGTGTGGAGGACCGGAGGAGAGACTGGACTGGAATTATTTTCACGTTGTTGTGTTTATCGATCGGCGCGCACGTATGTACGCGCGCGACAGAGCGGACCGTTCGCGCGCGAGCTTCGAAAAGCAATGCAAGCGCGAACGACACGGGAGCCTCTCGTTCCTTCCTACGTTCTTACGTCGATCTCGCTGCTGTGTCTGTCTCCCTTCCTTTCGATCGTCCCTCTTTCTCCCTTTCTCACTCTCTCTCCCTTTTTCTCCCGCCCCTCTATCCTCCTCGCTCGCGCTCAATCATACCTGTCCTCCGTCTCCGTCCCCATTTCTGACTTTTACCTTTCTCTCTCCATCCCACTGTATCGATCCCCCCCTCCTCCCTTTCTCACTCTCTCTCTCTCTCTCTCTCTCTCTCTGTCTGCTCCACGATACTTTGCCCGCTTCAAGCGTGTTACGCTCTTTTTCTCTCTTTCGAGAGCTCAATGATCTTTTTTCATACCTATTCCCACTCTTTCCTCTTATTTCTTTCGTTTATCCCTTTCCTCTCTCCTTCTCGCTCTCTCTCTCTCTTTCTTATTTTCACGTTACATCCCAGCTTTCCCAGTGTCCTTGCTCTCCACCGTACACNTCTCTCTCTCTCTCTCTCTCTCTCTCTCTCTGTCTCACTCTCTTCTTCCATCTCGTTTCACGTCTTACGCTATATCTCCGTCCCGCATTTTCATTATCGTTCATCCCGTCTCTGTCCGTACGATCCTCCCAACCCCCACCACTCGAGTTTTCTCCCTTCCAACTTTCCTCATCCCCCACTTTATCGGTGTATACCTTTGCTCGCTTTGCGTCTCCTGCCGGCCACCCACCCACAGTCCTCCATCTCTCTCTCTCTCTCTCTCTCTCTCTCTCTCTCTCTCTCTCTCTCTCGCACCGTTTTACCGGTGTACGCTTCGTCTACCCTCCCTCTCTCCGTTTCTCTTTCTCCCCCTCTCCCCCTCGTGTTTCGAGCATCGTCGATCTACATTTTTCTTGGCCGTTTGCCCTCCTTCTCCCTCACGAGTGCACCGCGATCCATCCTATCCGGGATTCGCCGAAACGTGCTCGCGGGGGTTCCGCTCATCACCGTTTGATCCACGATTACTATCATCTAATACGTCCCGCGGCCCTTTTTATAGTTCGCCCCTTTAGCGAAACAACGAACCGGGAAGATTGCGGCAAACATATTTTGTCTTTGGAAACGCCCCGGGGACAGATCGTTCGATCGTATTAGCGTTTTATTCGAGGAGCCGTTGGCGTACACAGCGCTCTCGATAAACAGGGACTGATAAAATATGCTCGATAATGTTTGTACGGCCCCCGTTATACCCCACGCTGATCCGCGTAAATTCGATAGCTCGTGCGCTCCTTATCTTCACGTTTCGATACCGTTGTTACACAGGAATTAATTATATACTTATTACGCGTGTATACGCGATTCAATCTCAACACGCGAATTATTTTTCTCCGCGTTTCGAAAAACTCGCCGCGGAACTCTGAGATATATATATATACCCCGGAGCGATTAGAAGTGGACGTGCTCGTTACCCGAGTATCGGAGTACTTGTAAATCAGGCTCCGGTTCGAGGATCGAATACGAATCGAATCGAATATCGGTATCCGGTTTCTGAATTTCTCAAACATTTAATAAATTTATCGATTCACGAAATTGAAATTGTGTTATTAGATGTACGTATCAATCCACTCGATTTTACCATCCATATTGTTGATCCTCCATCAACAATAAACATCGATAAAAATTTCTCACGAAAAATGTTATCTTCGAGATCAGTTAATCGTGCAGAGTTCACTTTCGATACTTTCTCGGTTATCGACCGACATCTCGCCACAACAAACTCTTGCGAAAAAGTAAAGTCGCGTTGTCGTGAAAAAAATTGTTTCAAGCCGCGGATGTAAAGATTCCGTTCCATGAGCGCAGCAGGCCGTATTATATTTTTAGTGCGTTCAAGTACGACGAACAAAATCGAAGGTGACACCCCTGCGTACACGTCTGGCCTGCCCCCTCGGAGTCCTCCAAAGTCCCCTCGAGCACGATAAATGATTTATCTCCGTGTCCCTCGCCGCTGATCCCCGTCGTTGGTGTTCGTGCCACGGTGGAACGGACACGCGTCCAGCGGTGCTCAGAAAGCCACTTTTGCGACACCCACGTGCCGGGATAAACACGTGGGTACGATACGTTTGAGCACTGCCTATCGGGGGGAATCAGCGCGTTGGCTGCCTGCGGTGGCCGGACGCGCGCCCATGAGACGATTCGTTCAACAGCCACTTCCTTTTTCTACGTCAACCCGGTTTGTAAACAGTCTCGTGATTAAGTTTTCTGAATATACACACGCCTATACACACGCGCGCGTTCCGTATCCGTGAAACATTGTGCAAACGAGAGGCTCAGATGTATTCGGATCTTGATTTATCGAGGCTTATACTTATACTTGAATTTGTTCCGAGAACCGATTAACCGTTCCCGGATCAAATTTTATGTGGAAAATAATTTTATTGTAAAAAATATATATATGTATAAACAACGTTGCGTTGTTACGCAACATCCAGTATAGTGGATGGAAAGGTTAAGGCCGAGGTAATTTATCGAAACTTCTGCTACTTGGATTTGTTTCTATAGATCTGTATTGCGCGTTTCGAACAAATATTCGATCGATTCACGAATTCATTTCCAAGAGAAAAAATTAAACGCGAGGAAGAATGGAAGAATGGAAGGGATTAAGCTTTTACCAGGAATTTCCCGCTCGATTCCACTCGATTCGTTTCTATTAACGTGGAATTCTTTGGTTATCTGGTAACGGGATAACCGGGAGAGAACGTTCACATTTTAACCGCCTTCACCCTTTTTTCTCCCCCCTTTGCTCACCGTGGAATCGGGTGAGATTCGTGACTCGACATCCTACTCTGCGATTATCAGGATCGAAACCGGTAGGATTGGACGGGAGTGCACGATTTTCGAACTCTCCGTTTCCTCATCGTTTCGAGGATCGGATCGGTATTTCAACGGTACGACGTCCACGTTTTCACGCTATAAATATATATATATATATATTTTCACTACTATATCGTCTCAAAGATCACACTATCCTCGTAGGATCGTTTTTTAATCGCGTTGGACGGATGCAACGAGAGTCGCGGCATCGTCAACGATTTAATAATCCCTCCCGTCCCACGCGAATATCGTGGACTGCTTAATCAACCGCCTGCGTATCGGCTGACTTTGATCTTCATCCATAGATGTCGGTTAATGTATTCGATTATTGAAGACCGGCCCCAGATATTGCTGTAGGCGTCCCATCCGACTGGTTCTCGCCGATTAGAGCGGAATGCAGAATAAGCGTGCATTGTTAATCGATTCTCCGTGCAGAGATCTTTGAGTGCCATGTTGAAATTGCATCGAGAAAATTGTATCGAGATTAATTTCGCTACTTTTCGTCGTAAAACCAGTATATTTCTTCCTTCCACTGCATTCCCGACCCGATTCGAGATGATCAACGCCACGGATTTATATCCGGTTCGAAAGACTTCTTCCTACGGGAAACGTATCGAATATGGGTTCCACATCATAACGTAGTTACGAGATCTTACAAGCGAGGTCCATTGACGACAATGGAGAAGAAGAAATTCGATTCGATCGAATATATACCTGTTACAATTCTCCTCTATAAGAACGGATCATCTTTTTCTTTCTTGTTTTCTTTTTCTTTTTACAGGTGAGTGCATCTCGTTATCCGGTCGTGGTGAAACTTGGACACGCCCACGGAGGAGTGGGAAAAGCCCGTGCCGAGACGAATCAAGAGTTTCTAGATCTCGCCTCTTTGGCTGCTTTGGCCAACGCTTACTGCACGTCGGAACCGTATGTCGATACCAAATACGACGTCCACGTGCAGAAAATAGGCAATAACTACAAGGCGTTCATGTGAGTATCGCGATATGAGTATCGCCGGATCGATCCCGCCGATCTGTCGTTGTAAATGTTACCGAGTCGCTTGTCCACATGGAAATTAGAAAACGTGTGGCTTAACCCTCGACTGGATGGCGAAACGTGGATTACGTAATAATACCGGAACAAATTTCGATTCCGATTCTATTTTTTTTTCACCGCGTAATTCGATAATACGTAAGAGAAAATAAATTTTTTCTTCCTCATTCCTTTTCCTCGTTCCTTGAGAAATAATTCTTTCCATCGTCATTTTTTAAATTAGAATCTCGAATGAAAAAAATTACCACTCTCCGTTACCACCACACCTCGTTGATCGAGGCTATCGGTTAAACCCTTCGAGTTAATGGGTGGAGAGGATCCAAGAGTAGCAAGATACTTGATTAACGAGCGCGTGATCGTTCCTCTCCAGGCGGAAGAGCATAAGCGGAAACTGGAAATCTAACACCGGTTCGGCGATGTTGGAGCAATTAGCCGTGAGTGAAAGACATCGCGCCTGGGTCGACCAGGTGGCCCAATTGTTCGGCGGGTTGGACATCTGCGCGATCGAGCTGTTGGTCGGCAAGGATGGCCGAGAGTACATAATCGAAGTGAACGATAGCGCGTTATCGTTAATGGGAGACTCGCAGGAGGAAGATCGTCGCCACATCGCCGATCTCGTCACCGCTAAAATGCAGGTAGAGAAAAAAAAAAAAAGAAACAAACAAACATGCCGTCTCATTCTCTCTCTCTCTCAGAACAGATCCAGAATAAGCTTGGATATACCTATCTTTAAATTATCTATTGTCTATCTCCTCCTCCTTTCTTTTCTTTTCTTTTCCTTTTTCCTTAAATCCATTCCTTCTCGCCCAATTTTCCGTTATTTTTCACTCTGAATAAAATATATGCAGGCATTTTGCCGGCCGCCGAGCGTTTTGACGAAAACAACATCGAGAGGATCGATGTCCGGCTCGAGCCAAGCGACGAGTCCCGTCGAGGATCGCGTCGTACCGCCAACAGCTCCCTTGGGATCGCACGGGAGCATGGGATCGATGGCTAGCATAGGAAGCTTGGGTTCGGTAGGCTCGATGACGGCAGTGGCCGGCGACGTAACCACCTCTGACAGCCACCATCAGCTGCAACGACGCGACTCCCAAGGTTTCGAATTATTATTATTATTATTATTATTATTAATTACTTCGTCGTGTTTTAAATTTGACGTACCAATTGATAACGTTTTCCCAGCATCGCAATCGAGTACAGTGAGCAGCGCGCCGTCGGTCGGTCGACGCCAAGACGAAGCTCCAACATCGAGAGTACCTTTCCACAGACAAGGTAGCCAATCACAAAGCGAGGACACCGAGGATACCATGAAGAATCTTCGGAAAACGTTCGCAGGAATCTTTGGAGACATGTAAATTTTTGGGACGAATTTTTGTGCACTGAAACGAAGGAGGCGAAGAATCGTTGTTATAAATTTAAAATTTGGTACGAAGTTAAGAAACGTGCTATATTCGATGAATCATATTTCTTTTCTTGTTCTTTTATAATATTAGTAATCGATATGGATAGTATTCGTAATTACGAGGATCTTTTTTTCTTCCTTTTTTTTGAGGAAATAAAATTGACAGTTTCGTGTTTTTTTTTTTTTTTTTGGGTCGATTCGAAATGAATTATCGGAATGGAAATATCGAGAATGGATTGAATGAGGCACGACGAGGATATATTTGCAGATCGTCAAGCTGATTTAAATGACGCTCGCGTCCCACACCGGGCGCTGTGTAACGATGTAAATTTTGCTAACGGTCCACGGCGATGTGTATAAACCTAAACATAACTCTTTGAAATCTCATTTGACAACAACTCGTTTCTCGATTAATTTCTCTCTTATCCTTGAATTAATTGAAACGAAAAGAGAACTTATTCTCCTTCTAGAAATTCTCGCTAATCGCTATTACCCAATACTTAATTATTATTATTATTAATAATCTTAAATACCGCGTAATTAAAGCATCGGTTTCGAATATTATTAATACTAACGTATTTTCGATAAGGGGTGGGTGAGCAAAAATTAAACGGGGGTTTAAAAAAAAAAAAAAAGAGATAAGGTCGTGGTCGTTTATGTATATTAAAAAAAAAAAAGAGTAAAAAACAAAAAAAAAAATAAATCGTATAGTAGATTCTATGTATTCGATGTATTATTCAGCATTTACAACATAGTCGGTTAGGGAAAATTCTCTCAGGTTAAAAAGAAATGATTAAAAAAGGGGGGAGGGAAAATAATAATAACAATAATAATAATAATAATAATAATAATAATAATAATAATAAAAATGAATACTTTTCCAAGTGTGTCCGGTTATGTTTCGTTACCATCGACGTATCCGTTCTGCATACACTCGTCTCGTTTACGGGAACTCCGCCACTTGGTTTTTCGATTCCAACAGGCAACAGATACCATAGGCCCCTGTCATCTCCTCATCCGAGTTTACTTCAGGCGTCCACTTTTTAGGCTTAACTTTCGATTAATAGCATTGTCTAAAGGCGAGGGAACGGGAAAGTGAAGGGGAGGGAAAAAAGAAAAAAGAAAAAAAAGAGAGAGAGAGAGGGAGAGAGAGAGAGAGAGACGAAAGCGGGGAGAGAGGTAGGGGGAGGGAAAAAAAGAAGAAAAAAAAAAACGATGGGTTATAAATTTAAACGGGTGATGGAAATTCCTGCAGTAAAATACATATTTGTAAAATTATTAAAAAGTATTTGTAAACCGACGTCATTCAATACAATGATTGAGGAAAACAAAAAAAAGAGGAGATTCGGGCATTATTAATACTGAACATTTGGCTAGAGAAGACTTCTGTATCGATCGATCGCCGCGTGAAAAAGAAAAGAAGAAAAAAAAAAAAGAAAAAAAAAAAAAGAAGAAAAAATCTCGATTTCGAAGAAACGCGCCGACCATTCGAAGAACACGATCGACGAGTCTGTATCTTAAGCGCACAAATAGTCATTAAGATTTCGAGACCGGGCAGTACTTTGACATCGTGCATGTGAACAGCGCAAAACGTTTTGGATTAAACGGGACTCGAGAAGAGGAAAATTTATTCCGCAGAGTCGTCGGTCCGTTTTTTGAAAGAAAAAATTAAAATTTCGGCCCGCTAAAAAATAAACTCGCTCGACCGACGGCCTTTCGATTTGGATTGTTGAAAAAGAAAAAAAAAAAAAAAAAAAAGAGAGAGAAAGAAAAAAAAGAAAATTCATCGTCTCGAACAGTAGTGAGCATCTCGATGTTGAAAACTGTCCTGCAATTCCGATGACGAACTGCTTCTTTTTCTTAAATTTTCACGCACACACGTGTACAAATCATTTCGTAAAGAAAGAGAAAAGAAAAGAAAAGGGGAGAGATTCGGCAATGCTCGCTTGCTGAAAATTCACGAAAAACGAGATGTTCGTTGTTCCGTAGGCTTTAAGAACATTACCGATGAAATCAAAATGTAATAAAAAAAAAAAAAAGAAACGGGTTCGTGAAACTAGGAACGGGAAGCGAAAGGGAAACGCGGCCACTAGTCGCCGCAAGAATGATAAAAAGATAAAATGTTATTACATGGGCATTCAGTAATCGCGATTTTTGCGAAATCCTGGCAAAAATCCGGGTCACACCAAGCAAATTTTTTTGACGATCTGCAAATATAATCTCGCGTTTCCTCATTTTTCTGACTTTATCCGTTTGAGGTTCGAACTCCTTTGATTCGGTGCACGGAATCGAAAAGGATTCAAGGATTGAATCAAAAAAAAAAAAAAAATCGATCGACGATGACGAAGGAAGAAAGAAAACAAAACAAAACAAAACAAAAAAAAAAAAGAAAAAGATAAGGAAAAGAGAGGGAACGAAACTTCTTTATCCAATGATCTCAATTTACCTTAGCATAAGGGCTGATAAGGCCGTATTCGACGAATGGACTTCGTGGTGTCAGCTTTGGAAAGGAACGAGAACAATTTCCAACGCGTTTCTAATATTCCGTTAATACCCTCGGTTTCACGATGATTTCACGAAACATTTTAATTCACAATTTTCATTTCCCTCGAACACCTTTGTCAATTGCGCGAGGATACAGTGGAGGGAGGGGATTGCGTAGGATCGTATACAAAGGAACGTGTATTGCCTTCTTTCGTTTCCATTTTTTCTTCTCTCGATTTCACGGAACACATCGACAGTGCTTTGCACGTACTGAATTTTAGAAATATTAGAACGAGGTTATGCAAACGATAAACGCAAAGACGTGAATTTAGTCCATCCTCTCTATTGCACAATTATATATCGATCGGATACTCCCTGTGTGTGTATCTAGCTTTAGTTGATAAGTTAGTTATCCGTTGAAAGAAAAAGGAGGGAGAGAAAGATAGAAAGAGAGAGAAAAGAGAGAAACATCGACGATGAATTAAAACGGAATCCACGAGTCACGAGTTAATTTCGATATGTAATAGACGTCCGATGGTTTGGTTTTTGATGTGCCTTGATAACTTAAGTGCCCTTCTTGTCACCTGTTTCTCACCCGATTCGAAGCAGTCCAAAAGTACGCGTTTCAAAGAGTACAGAAAAAAAATAAACGTACGACACGTACACGTTCACCGTTGCACTTAATCACGAGATCTCTATGTTGTTTGTACTTTTTATACACCTCGAAAACGCGTGCACCCCATCGTTTTTACCCTTCTCGCATATGATCATCGTTGCAACGAGCTTGCTTGTTGATTCAGCCACGCATCTCAAAATATCATGTGGATAAGTGCAGGTACACCGTCCAAGTTTACGATCAACAACAAGCGAAGTTAAGTTTCGATCGAACAATCCTCTTATCCGTTCGTCGATATTCGCTGTAGCAAAGATAATCGATCAAGCATATTCTTCTCTTCCGTTCTTCAATTCGTCAATTCGTATCTTAGAACCCACCTTCGCTTATCATTTGTATTTCGATTCTCTTTCCATTATTCACCGATTATTCAACGACCGAGGCAATGATACGTAGAGGAGTAAACTTAAAGTAGAGTTTAAAAGAGTTTTAGAGTCGTGGCAGGAGAGTAGAGCAGAATATTGTGAGTTATTAGCGTTTCAAATTTAAGGACTTAGTTTTTAGCTTCAAGCTGAGATAATCAGAGTGATAATAATATTGCGAGAAATAGAATGTTGGAATTACCGATACTTGAAAGACGATACTTTAAGGGATGTGTTTTCATTTTTTTTCATTTTTCCATTATTCGTAGGGCAGGACAATTATGGAGGAGGAGGTAGAATTTAAACAGAGAGTTTAGAGTCGTGAGAGGATAGACTGCTAAAAGGCTGCCTGATTCCACGACACGTATAGTTCAGAAATCTGAAATAATAATTGCAAGAGATAGTAAAAACTATTAATACTACTATTACTACTACTACGACATTGGAAAGCTAATAAACTTTAACGGGAATAAACGCGACGTTTAAAGAAAACAGACCCGCGAAAATAAAATCCTGGACAATCTTTACCGAAAACCTGGAAAATTGTCGCGATGTACGCGACGAAGTACAAAAAAAAAACCCACCCAGATGAAACGAGATAAACTGCTTTCCGAGCTGACGCCACGATGCGAACGAAATAAATAAATAAAAAGAATAAAATAAAATAAAATAAAAAAAAAAAATAAAAATAAAAAAAAAAGGAGAGAAAGCTCGATAGATTCGTTTAAAAATGGACGAATTCGATCCCTACAGAATCCGTACTGATACGTAGACAAGGTTAAAGATAACGAATATCTCAGGGGTGCAAGTTTAAGCACTAGGTAGGATAGAAAAAAAAAAAGAAAAAAAAAAAAAGAAATAGAAAAAAAAAAAAAGACGACAGTTAGAAGAGGCAGTTGGGTTCAGGTGTTGTTGCAATCTCTAGACGAATAAACGGCATTGACTACCGATTATCTACGACGACTAGCGATTTTAGCGAGCACGCTTTTTTTGGAAGAAATGTTAGCGGTTATCCATTTCATAGGAAGCGAAATTATTATAAGCGGAATCGAACCGGGTAACGATCATCTGTGAGAAAATCCGATAACAACGTTTCTGTGCAACGTTTTAACCCAATATCTCCTTTTGTACAAGATTATTGTTCCAACGAATAAATCTGTGGATCTGATTGTCGATCGTCAATTGTTATCGCGATTTATCGCGATATTTTCAATGAAAAAATTGTAAAAAACGATTAGACGATTCAATTATCGATTTAATTTCAATCATCACCTTGATTGTTCTACGTGCGGTTAATCATTACCCGAGATCAGAGATACCATTATTATCGAATTAATTATGAAGACGTTTGTCGAGGACGGATCGAGCGGATGATCGATTCAGTGTAACAAAAACCGAACAAAAAGCAAGAAAGCTCACATCGTTTATGCATTTTTAACAATTGCTCGATCATGCTTCGCAAGAATCTTCGATCGACGAGTTTGTAATTTGTTTTTTAGTGCCCGTGTGATGTAGTGAGCAGCAGCCTGTTTACAACACCTTTCCATTAGGTTTTGATCGTGTTTTCGTGTTAGGCGTCACTTTTTTTTTATTTCGTCGTAGCGCCACCGCGTGTGTCGGTGGAAACTTTATAGTAAGCTGATAGATCTTTTTAATTTCGATGTAAAAGATTCGCGTACACCGCCTCTCTCGCTACACACAGCGAGAGATCTTTTATAAAAATTGGCGCTCTATCGCGCCTAAAATCTCCTCGTTCAAAATCTCTGTTTCCTTCTTGCCGGAAAAAAAAAAAAGAAAATAATAATATTACAATTAAGCTAATCTACTTAGGATCCTTGCGTCACCGTAATACCGTTGTTGGTTAAGAATTTACCATTCATAGAGTTACTTTAAGATCGTGGAACTAATTTAGATGCCTTGGATAACGACATCGTAGATATAAGTTCCAACCAAAAAAAAAGTAAAAAACAAAAAATCATAAGAAAGAAAATAAAAAAAACCAAAAAAAAAAAAAGAAAGAAAGAAAGAAAGAAAGAAAGGAAAGAAGGAAGGAAGGAGGGAAGGAAAAAAGAAAAGAAAGAAGAAACGAAAAGAAATCGAAGCAAACTCGCGATGATAACGCTAACGAGAACTCGATATTGCGTTATCGTCGTCGTTTCGAGGCTTCTTTCACTCGACCCAACTCGATCCAAGATCACAATCTCGATTCGAAAGAACCGCGTGACGAAGCTTCGAAACGCATTCGATCGTGAATAGATTAGAATACACACACACATACACACACATACACACACACGCTTAGAAATATACGTTCCAGGAGCATCTCCGCCGAAGAAAAGGTAGAGATACGTACAACGGGCGTTATAACGTTATCACACGTCGAGGCGAGACCGTGCCTCGTGCCAATCAGAATTGGCGATTCCAGCTCATGGCATTCGAATGCCGATTTAGTGCCTCGTTGCTTTCCCTTCCCGCTTACCGTTTTCATTTAAATACACGAATGAAATCTCGTTTCATTAAATACCTATAAATACACGATATTCATCTTCGCTCAAATCAATTTTCCCGATCTAATGTTAATCAGATTCCTTTAACTTGCTTACTTGCTTCTTCCTTCTTCCTTGTTTCCCTCCAAATTCTTCTCCAACGCTTATTCTCCCGTGAAACAGTGAAACGAAACACCAAGATATTATTATTACGAGAAATCGTTACAACGAATCGTGGAAGGGATGAATAATTATCGAAGCAATCTCCTCGTCGCGCGAATAGAATTTAGCCGGATATCATCAATGGCACGGGGATCCACGGTTTCGCCACGATGGTCGAGGCGAACGAGCGCTCGTCATCGTCTCTTAATTACTTTATTATTCAATGTCTCTGTGTAACGAACTTAAAGATTAAACAATAGCGTTAAACGAAATTAAAAGGAAATAACGGATCGTTAAGGTGAGATTATCATCGTAGGCTAGTTACGGTACGGTAGGCTCTATATGTAACCGTATGTTACCTCCTTGATTTCAATGAGTGCTAGTCCACATGTATCATAATATCACATTAACACAACACTCGTACTCTCGATACAAGAATATTATATACACGACATATTATATATATATATATATACATACATACATACATACATATATATACATTATGTAATAACTATAATGATACGCGACAGTTGTAGCTAATCACCCCGGACGAACAACAGAGGAACCAGTCTATTGTTCTCGCGGGGACGTGTAAAAGCGTCCTTGTAAGGTTTCAAGGATGTCTTCAGGTCTAATTAATTGTAAAATCGGTCAGAAACGTTATTATAATCCGAGGAGAGAAGCGAATACAAAAGTTTAAAACGGGAAACGAAGATGGAACGTCCTCGCGCGCCGACGAAAAAAAGCGTCTCATAGATCCGATTCTCGATCTTCGAGCGGAGAGCCACCGGTGGCACGGGACGTGCCTCTGTCACGCCAACATTCGATATCAATTGTACGACAATATATATAATATATATATATATATTACGGAATAGACGCCATACGAGCGTTTACTCGTACGAGACAAATGTGAGAGAGTAGAGTTAGTTATTAATCTCGATGTTCTGTTTCGCGGCGCGCGTATCCCAGATGCGCCGTGAAAGAAAAAAAAAAGAAAAAAAGAAAAAAGAAAAAAAAGAAAAATTATTTAATTAGAACATTTCCCTTGAAGAAAATCCGCGCGATCGAACCGTCGAAATTATGGATGGACGAATACTTCTCTCTCTTTTATTCGATCGCGTTCATAGCGATGCCAGCCAACACCAAAAAAACGTCCCGAGTTCGATCGTTGGATCGCGCACAAAAGTCGCGTGTGCCGCTTCGTCGATCACGTTTCCTCGTATTATTCCTTCTCTCGTACTCAAGACCGCGTTGAAACACACGGATGTGTGTTTCCCAAGCGCGCGTTGATCACAAGATCATCGCGACGAACAACGAAATCATCGGTACGCGAAATCGATCGTGGATCGCGGCACGGCTCACGCGTGGAGGCAACGATCGCTCGAATTATATCACGTTATACACCGATTATTAACCGAAAAATTCTCCGATCGTACGACCGTTTATATTAATACCTTTTAACTGTAACCGTTGAATAAGAGAAGGAAGGAAGGAAGGAAGGAAGGAAGGAAGGAATGGAAAAAAGGGAAGGATGTTTAATTAAATGCGAGTAAAATGCGAGTTCTATCTGTCATCGTTTTAGCTGTTAAGGATTCATCAGAAGTAAATATTGGGGGTAGCTCTAATCCAGTAAGCGTACCGCGTAAGCGCAAGCATACATTTAGAAATACGGAGAGAAGAAATAAAACGTAGTACAATGTATAGGTTTGTGTATAGAGATACGAGAGGGCATGTGTGAAAGAGATATCGGTGTTGGGTGCACGTCGAGTGCTCGTTACCGATCCTACCGCCGCTTTATTTCGTTGGAAGGCATTACGGGTGGATGGCTAACAAGATCGTTCCAACTTGTTCGAGATATCACGGAAACGGTTTTTCGACCGTTTTCTATCCTATCGCGAGTGGCCGAGGTGAAACGATGCCCTTTCGAGGGATCGTATATCGATAAGCCGGGGTGGTCGTAGGTAACGAGCACGCCGTTTCATGGAACATCAAGGGAGTCTTCCTCGTGATGGCGGGCGATGCTCGATGCCCGGTGATCATTTCATGGCCTTAATCAAATTTTCATCGGGGATCGAGTGTCTTCGTCATCGTGTCGTCGCGTCTATCGCGACGATGGAACGAATATTGACTGGCTCGTGACGACGATTCCAACGAATCGTGGATGCCAAAAGGAGTATGAAAGATGCTGGAGGATATTATACAACTACTCTCGAGTGTACTTTTAATATCTCCGTTTGGAATTCGTCCACCGTTTGGATATCGAATATTTTCCGCTAATTCGAAATTTCGATCGATGTTGTGATCCATGTTGTATCCGATACTCGTCGAGATGATTCGATTCAAAGAGATTTTATATATCGATTGCGCGCCGATTTCTATCTCGTACGATTTTCCACTCGTCGAGAAATGTTCTCGATGATAAGAGGTGGAAAATTGTTGGACGAAAATTGTCGCGTGTTTCCACATATATTCTTCGATATACCGGTTTAACGCTGCGCTATCAGATGTGGAATATCTTTATGGTGTCTCCGTAAGACTTTCGACGTGGGCCCCTTAAAACTGACGACACGGACACATAACGTTAACAGAGTTTCTTCGACTAGAATTGTGTATTCATCCATTGCATACCAACAAAAAAATAAATAAATAAATAAATGAATAAATAAATATTTGCCATATTGGACATTGGTGAAACGTTTATCGAAACGTTTTGGATGTCGTTATGGTTGTTAAGACATTGAAATATTAAGAACTCTTTAACGAATTGAGCTATCTCATTGTGTTATGTACACACATTTATAAATATATAAATATATAAATATATTATATATATATATATATACATAAAAAATATATATGTTGAAGAGTTAAACATTTACCACTATGATGATCATACTAATGCAGCGTAATGGACGAATGGCATGCACTCAAAAAGTTATAAGATGTTATTAATATACTTCCGAAGTCGAGTAACGCAGATTATTAAACTTTCTTGATGAATTGATGAGAAAAAAAAAAAAAAAAAGAAAAAAAAAGAATCCCGATCAAGTAATCCTGTAAAACGGAGAAACAAACGTTAGTGAGCGTTTACGATATTGTACTTATCCCAATAACATAACGATCGAAAGGGAGAAAACGACTTTCGATTCCGTGCTAGATTTCGGGACACTCTTTGTAACTCTGCGTGGCCCGACTAGGTTCTGGTTGAAATACGATTACTGCGATACGTAAGCTAAACTGTAACAATAAAAAAAAAAAATAATAAAATATTATACTTATGAATTTTCAATATTACAACCTTATCTCTTAATTTTTAAATATTGAATATACGAGATTTGAATTTTTATTTCTTTTATATATATATATATATAAAATTGGAAAGTTTATTAATTATTAAGATATCGTACATATTTTTTCTTTTATTATGAGTCTCCATATACTTGATATTTTTTTTTATTTCGCTATTACAACAATGTTCGTTTATATCTCTTTCTAAAGTACATGTGTATCAAGTGTTCGAAGAACATAATATATCTGAATCTATATGCACGTTTATAATTTGTTCTCTCTTGCTTCGATTACATCTCGCTCATCTTCTCTCAACAAAAAATCGTTAAAGCATTATTTAAATTATTTAAATTAATATATTTCCATCTCTTCGAAATTATATATTGGAATCGATCGACATTAATTCTTCATACAATCGATGATTTCGTTGTCAAAATACATGATATGTGTACATAATTTTAACGCGAGAATAACAATTTGTCGATTATCATTCGATCCGATCGTCAAAGTTTAATACACGAGAATTACGAGAAGTTACATTTTCAAGAGATTTAATAAATACATCACGTGTACGATTAGTCGTATTAATTAACGCATTTTCTTTACGAAAATTATTTTAGAGATAATCAAATGTGAGAATTTGAAACGTGCGAGAAATTTAAACTCTGCTTTTATCCAATACCGTATTCAAGGAACAATTACGATACATCCCACCGCGTCCTTGATTTATGCTGAAAGAATTATCTCGTGGGTAATAAGAGGTTGGCACGGTGTGAATCGTCGGCGCGTACCATCCGTAATCCATCGCCGTGCTTCTGTAACAAGGATGGGGTAGGGGAGTTTCGTCCTGTCGATATCCCTTGAACACTCCTGCAAAAACGATCTTTTATCGGATAAAGATTTTGTTCTCTATCCCTATGATAGATGGATGATATCCTTCTCCCTTGTCTATTTTTACATTTTTTTTTTTCTAATAAAATATTTGCTAATATTTTACACGAATCATTGTTGACTTGTGTACGACAGTACCGTCCAAAACAAAAATTTGCGAAGCGACGATAGAAAATCTTTTACAAAAAAAAAAAAAAAAAAAATAATTGTGAAACGAATTGAGAAATGGAGAATTCTCTCAATTCTCTAAACAACTCTTTTGCACTTTTTTTTGAAGAAAACTCACACCGTAAGAAGAAAGGAAATCGGTATATTCACATGTGTATATTCGCGTTGGAATTATAATGGAATTATAATGGAATTATAATAAAATAAAATTAATGAAAAAAAAGAAAAGAAAAACCTAGAGAAAAAAAAGATGGTCACTGATTTGGAATTCTCAAACAAACATTATACGAAGAATGGACAAGGCGTTTTCTATATCAAACCGGCACTGGTTATACTCCAGGTAATTTATGCATCAATGAACCTGAGGTCCAATCTCCGTGCACTCGTACGGCAACTGATACGCGACGTTGTTACAACGGAATCGTCCTTGCACGTTTGAAACATTGTCCATCGTCCTCCCGGCTATCTTGAAGCCGGGATCGACGGTAACATTCTTCATCCTGGCGAAAGCGGACATGTCCACGAAACGGAGGTTGTTGCTGTTCAAGAACAGGAGCAACAGATTGTCCAGCCCCTCGAAAGTGTCCGCCTTAATCATGACGATCTGATTCCCGTTCAGCCACAATGAATTTAGATTCCTGAGATAACGAAATATTCCACCGGACACGCTTCTCAACGAATTTCGCCCCAGATCCAATTCGTTGATCTCGCTTAATCCGCGAAACACCTCCAATTGCAGGGACGAGATTTTATTTCTCGACAGATAAAGAAGATCGATATGGGGCAGCCCGTTGAACGCGCCGATCGGTATCTCGTTGATCTCGTTACAATCCAACGCCAAAGTCTCCAAGTGTCTCAGACCTTTGAACATGTTCCTCCTCAACGCGATTTTATTATTCGTTGCGTACAATTCGTGGAGATCCACCAGGCCTTTCCACATACCGGGGCGGAAAGCGATCATGTCATTGTAATCCAATATCAGCGTCTCCAAACTGTCCAAATTGGCGAACGAGCCATCCTCTATGTCCCTTATGCTGTTGTTCTTCAAATCGAGATACGTCAATTGGTCCAAATCGGCGAAGTAGTGTTTAAAAATCTTGGACAATTGATTGTCGCGAATGTAGAGGGCGGACGAGTTGGCCACCTCGAGGAAAGCGTCCTTGGCGATATCCTGGATCCCGAGGCCCTCGAGATGAAGCTCTATATCCTCGATCGTTTGCACCGCGTTCACATCCTCGAACGCGACGCTGTGCAGCACGCTGTTGCCCAGGCAAACGTAAAGATGATTATAAACTTGGCAGTCCGCTTCCTCCGCGCTCACGTCTCGAGCGGTGACCGATAAGAAGAGATAAACGAGCAAGAGGAAGCAGCACATGGTACGCAGAGAGATGCTGGATGCTTACTGAACGAGGGATCGCGTCTCGATGTGCAGCCAACGGAACAAACTGAAACGGTCACCGTTGCTCAGATACCATTCGATAAATATATCATCCGTATATACAGCGTGTACGTATTACAACTCCACCTACAATTTCTCTGCAAATTCCACGTTTCCTTCGTTTTTTTTAAACGCGCAATTCCCTCTACTGTTTCGATCGAACAGTAGCTCCTTTCTCTTCTGTCGATGGTCGATTACGGTTGATTTGACGTTAACCGTGTTTTTTCATCTTGAATCGATTCAATTTTAACGAGAGATCAAACGATTGAGCGCCGCCCAAAAGTCAGCCAGTTTCTTCGTATCGATATTAAAAATTCATCATTTCCGTGAAATTATTTCTTCTTTTTTTAGCGAGACGAGGCATCTGTTCCCATGTTTCTCTCTGCATTTTTATGGACCAAACGTTTCGCGATCTGATCTCGCGATTCGAGGCTTCCAAGGCAGCCAAGTTATTTTTCTTTAACTGGTCTGGATTACCATTGCAGTATTTCTCGAGACGATAGAAATTGGAATGCGGCGTTCGTTAATTTGACGATTCGTATCTTTTATACGAATACGATACAAAAAAAAATGCTTCCGTTATCTTCCGCATTTTCATTTTTAATATCGTCTTAGTCATGTGTGAAAAATGCATATTCGCGTTGTATATTTACGACAATATATTTCGTGTTAGATACAACAATATATATATATATATGTATATATAAATACTTTCCGCAGTCATGAACTACGTGTACGAATACAAATTCACGGCGTAGATATTTCGACACGTATGTGAAATCATTCTTTCGTTTCTCAATCAAGAAAGCAAGTCGATCTGTTTACTGAAAGATCGCACATCCGATTTAACGAACGAAAATGCCACACGTGTTACGTACGTGGTTGAACAAGTCCTATCTTGTGAAAAGGTTTCAGTGACATGTGCAAAAATGTACGTATCCCCCCGATAAGCTTCGACGATCGTCAATACCGACTTATTAATAGCAGAACGTTATCGTTTCAGCTATACGAGGAATTTCTTGTCGTATACACTTTACACGCGAAATCAATCTGCGAACCGATTCGACGAACTGCATAAAACATTCGAGCGGAATCCTTTCCTCGAAAAAGAGAAAAAGAAAAAGGAAAAAAAGAAAGAAAGAAGGAAAGAAAAATACACGTTAAAATACATACTTACTTATCGACCGATCTGTCGTCGACGAGATTCGATCAAGCTATATAATTAAGATCATGTAACTCGTTAAAAATATGAAAAATGTCGTGTTAATAAATTACACACACACTTACGAGGATACATAAATCGTGTCGGAAGATTGCACGTCCGATAAATCTCATCGGTTCGTTCCTCCTTCTCCATCTCCTTCTTTTTCTCGCATGTGCACGGCGTTTCGATCATTTTTGGTATTCGGGGGATTCAATCGTGTCGCGAATAAGCGCGTAGAACCGCGGAACCGCAAAGCATAACCTCGACGATGAAAATACGCTGCAATTTTTGCCGCGACATCGGCCATAAATGGAAGTTCCCGTTCCTATGGCGACTGTATCTTCCCCGCGACCAAGAATCGATCAAACTCGATTCCATTCGCTAAAAGTTTGATAATAAATAATATTCTTTGTTTCGCGTTGCAAATTTCGAAAATAGATAAAAGGATTTTTTAAAAAAAGCAAAGTTCTTAAGATAATTTGGAATTCTAAATTATATTTAGAATTTCGAAAAGTTATCTTTTGATAATTTTAACGAAATAAAATGTACAGAATGGAAAATATGGGAACAGTGGATTAACTGTTTGAGACCATTTCCTCGTTCGAAAAATAAATTTCCAATGGATAGGGAATTTTTTTTATACGCACCGTGTATACTTTCGTTTTAATCTTTTACTTTGCGAGAAATATTATATACCTATCTGCACTTGAGTATATATATATATATATATATGCCTCTTCCTCAGTTTTTTATTAGGAAAAGGGTTATTGAACCGACCAGGTGAACGACTATTGCACAGCTAAAGAGCATTTAAAATTCTAGCTGAGTATGCAGTACGTTACATCGGTGGCTTTATTATCAACGACACCGATAACAATAGCGGTTTCGATAACCGCCTTAAAATCGTGCCTTCCCTTCGAGCTTTATTCCAATTTCGAACGAGGAACGATACAGTAACTTAAATTGGAAATATTTATTTTTTCACGATTAAAAGAAAACTTTACTTTTGTAATTTGTAAACGATTTCAAATACCTATTATTTATTTATTTTGCGCGATCCCTATGTTGTGTATAATTTATATTATATTAAAAATAAAGATATCGATTATATACCGATATTGTTAACGCGCAGGAAAATTTTACCATTTTTACCGGTCACGTGGATAAAAATAACGACAACTGTTTCGTTTATTGTACACATCACCTCTGTCAACAAGCTGGCCGACAACATAAGTGGAGGTATGGACTTAATGAAACGATTACTATCGCCGCCACTTCCACCAGTTGCGGTCTGGCCACCAGAAGCGAATTACCGGCCTCGTGATAAGGAGTATAACGCGTAGAAAATGCGATGAGAAAAATTTTCAATAATATTCAACAACGTCGTCAACAACGGGATTGAAGAAGAAGAAGAAGAAGAAGAAGAAGAAGAAGAAGAAGAAGAAGAAGAAGAAGTCGGAAGAAATCGGAGTCACGATTAAAAATTATTCGTCGTGATATAAAATATCATTGATCGTATGAAAAAAAAAAAAAGAAAAAAGAAAAAAAAAAGATTGAATTTTTCAAACGCGAATAGAATCTTTTTATAAAGATTCCAAAAGTGGATGCGGACGCGCGAACAATAACGAGTGAAAGGTAAAATAAAATTTCTTTCGGAAACGTTCGGGCGCTCGATGATTTTAATTTAACAGTAAATAAATATCTCTCGTGACATTTCGAGTATTTTTTTTTTTCGTGGAAACGTAAAACGAGTGACATTTAACTATAACCATACATTTTCAGTGTTATTAATACCGTACGTAATGTGTACGATAATCGGCAATTTGGTTAAATACATTCTAGAGAAAGAGAAGACGAAATAATGAGCGATATTTTTCCACGTTATCACAATATTGCAATCAAGCGCATTCGTAATTCGTGTCGTTTGTAAATGTTATCGTGCAATTTTGTTTTGTCCGATTATCGGTTTCATTTTAATTTAATGATAATAATAATAATAATAATAATAATAATAATAATATATGAAAATGAAAATATATTGGGATGGGATCGAAACATTTTGTTCAACTTTGATTTTTCGCAATTACGCAAATCTGTATCAAAAATGATAAACGATTAAATAATTACGATTGCGACAAAGACCATTTGTTATCATCCTTCGTCCTTGCATCAACATCGAAGAGGTATTTAAAATTAACAAAATTTGATCAATTTTTATTATATATCCATATTATATCGTCAAACTCTTGATAATTTATTCTAATCTTTACGACACGAAGAGTGAAAATTTATGTTTTCCTAGCCTTGTTATTAACAACATCTACACATTTTACGCCTGAATTCTCCTGTAATGGTTTATCGACTAATAATATTAGCGAATTTACATATGACAACCTGTAAATCATAACTTTCTAACGTCAGATCAATTTTTGCGAATCGGATAATTGGCCGGATTCTTGTACAAGACGCAAGAGGGTTCTGCTAAATAGATTTCCACAATGAAGTTGTCGAGTGACAAAATTTCGCGAAACACGAAACGTTTCGAGAAGCCGATAACCAAAACGAAAGGGAAACCAATGCCCTCGGTATTGAAACGCGCGCGAATTCTGTTTTTCTCAACACTGTGAAATGTTTTCATCGAGAATCAGAAACGAACAGCGTTCCCGATCCCTTCGTGAAACAATATTGCCAATATTTCACCAACGATCTTACGCCTTGTATAATCGCGCGAACGATGATTTCCACCTTTCAAAATTTCAAATTTCAATTCTCAACTGGTAATTTCTCGAAATACCAAAACGTTGTTGGTATTTTAAATAGCGGCACGAGATAAGATAAAGTCACGTTGGTGTGCGACTATGGGGTGCAACGTGATGCCTCTGAAGAAATACGCGGAAATTAGCTACCGGGTGAAATGCGTGGCCGTGGAGAACGAGCGGGTGTTCGGCGACGTGTACGTCACCCAACAAACGCGAAACATGCTGTACTGCGCGGATGGATATCAGTTTCCCTCGTTGTACGAGAGGAAGAGATGCAATCTGATTCAGAAAGAGTGGAAAGGGCCGGATTTCATGGAGTTGAATCGGAAAAAACCGATCAGAAGGGCTAGCTTCGCGCCGCTCGAGGCGGAGAGGAAGCGCTTGAAGAGATCTAAATCAGTCGGCGACACCAGAAGCCTGGTAGGTAACGATTGGACGAGAAGCGACGGTGTAAAAAGTGAAATCAACATTTGCAAACCGAAGGTACGATTTTTGAATGAATATTAACGAATGTAGAATTTTCTTTTCTTTTTTTTTTTTTTTTTTTTTCGAAGATATTCGAAGATATCGATAATTGTTTCGATAGATATCGAAGATATCGAATTGTTTCGTAGTCGTATCCACCACCGTTGCCCAACCCACCGGTGAGGAAAGAAGGGACCGTTTCTTCGTTAGTGGATCAATTGTTGTTGGATATTTATGGGTTGCCGGACGGTGATAGAAGACGATCGGAAAGCGACTCGACAGCCTCATCTCTGAGGATACATCCGCAGCATCAGCACCTGCAAAAGGCGCGTCTGTTGTGGAAAAGTAAGAATGATTCAATAAAAGATGGAAATGTCTGTGTGTACAACGCGCTGGTAGAAAGAACAGAGCTGGTCGTGAGTGGGCGGATAAACGTGTTAGCTCGAGGACATTTATTGTGTGTATTTTTCACGGAAATGCAGACAGTTCTTAGAAATAATATCGAAAGAGAGAGAGAGAGAGAGAGATTACGATACCTACGTAATATTCTTCTAATAAAAGAGAATTATACGTTGGAATAAAAACGTAATATTCTATATGTTCGTTGCACGAATTGAAAAATCACCGTTTCGATCGAGAAAAATTTGTTAAGGAAGGGAACGGTGTCACATTCGCGTTTAAACACAATTTTAACGTATCGAGAGTTCGAAATTCCCCGGAATTAGGCAAAGATACTTTGGCAGAAGCTGACGAGACAAGAGCTCGTAGAGACGAGACAGACAAGCGACCTCGTTGACTTCGAGGCAAGAAGGTTCTTTGACTTGGAGTGCTACTTTTTTTTTCTCCCCCTTTCTTTTTTTTTTTTTTTTTTCTTTTCGAGGGGGAAGCACTTCTTTTATGTCTACACACGATGCTGCTTCGTTCCGCCTCGTTGAACATGCATAGGGAAAAACAGGGGAGAGATTGCACTATCTTAAGTTGAAACCCACAGTGATCGAATCACCGCGTGGAAATGATTGCAATCGGTATTCATTGATATAACTGTGACATAAAAATATTCGAGTACCGAATACTTGGTTCAAAAAAATTTCTTTTCTCGATTTATCATATCGCGATGCTAGGAACGAAATATTGAAAACTTGTCGATCACACACAATATTTCCTTTTCCTTAAATTTTCATTTTCATATTATATAAAAAAGCAACGAAAAAAAAAGGGAATTTATCCGATCGACGATATCCTTACAACAATTATTCACGATTCAAATATTTCAATATTATTCCCTTCAGACGAGTTTCCTCATCGCGGATGATGAAGTCCTCGGAGTTCATCAACTTGTGCCATTTAAATTTTTGACGCAAAAGTTACCGCAATGTAACTTAATTATCGTGATTTCTCCTCGACGATTAAGATTCCAACTCGTGTTCGGAATGATGAGAAGGGAACGTGAGCGGGGATGGCGCGTTCGTTTCGTTGAAATACGCGGAGAGCATAAGCGAAAGGGGAAGTTGGGAAAAAGAACTGTAATCTTCGATCTGTGTACACAGTCGAACCCCACTTTTCGGCCCGTTATCAAGATTGCAGCGTGAGTTCAAAGATTTCTCTCCAAGTGTCTTCGCTTTTATCCGCGGCGAAATTACAAAACACGCGGGCATTCCAATTCTGAAATAACTTCCCTTCCTTCCCTTCGCGCAATCTGGAATATTGCGAAAATTTGCACGAGATCGAGAAAAGAGATTCGAGAGAGTCAATGAATACAATTTTGTCATTCCTCTTTTCCAGACAATCACGAGCTTCAAGTTTTGGTGATGAATTTACGCGATCATATTAATAACACAGGCGAGATACTTGTTCGACAACTGCGTCGAAAGGATTATCTCATCACCAAATGTGAAAAATTGTGCGCCATAATCACGGCTCATCTTCAGGCTCGCAGTCCAAAACGGGGTAAGTACGAGCTTTCTGTCTCTGTATCGAATTAAAGTTAAAATATCTCCTATATATACATATATATGTAATAATCTCTCCTTCCATGTTGAAGCTTTGTACAATAATGTCTTTCAAAAATTCCTCTTGATCTCGTTCGAAACGAAAAAGTGAAACTCGGTGGAAAAGATGTTCGAGGGATTATTACTCGTATAAACGATTCAAACGAAACACCTTATATATGCGCGCGCGCCTCTTGATTCTTCCCGCTTTAGTTTCAGGTTAAACGATCGTATCGTTCCGTGCTAACTCTTGACATTTATACGTACCGTTAAAATTAACTTAACGAGTTAAAAAAAAAAAAAAAAAAAAAAGAAGAAGAAGGAGCGATGTTTAAACAACTGCAACGATAATGTCTTTGGGCGAACAATAGAGGTTCGCGTAATGCGGAAACGCGACTGTTCAAAACGGCGAGTCTCCCTTCAAGCTGCTCCCCGCATTTCCTTCCCTCGCACGATAAAACAGTCGCCACACACAAAAGCGATCTTCTTCTTGTTTGCGCGGCGTGAAAAACAACCGCGCGATTTATACCGCTTCTTCGTTAACCAACGGCAACTTATTATTTATCTTATCATACCGTTCTGCACTCATAAATTATGGAACAGCTAGAACAGGAATTGGACTGGTGGCGTCGAGATAAAACCGTGGCACAAATACACAAATTATGCGCATCTTTAAGAATACTACTAAGAATTTCTTGCATTTCTGACAATCTATTCCACCGTTCTTTTTTTTTTTTTTTTTTTTTTTTAACACGACTTCTGCGACTCATACTTCGAATAATTGGTGCTATAATTTATCTTTCTTTATTACACAAGGTTAGAGAAAAATCGACGAAGTTAAGTTACAACTCTCGAGAACAGAGTCCCTCTCGAGAGCGAAAGCTATTCCCGAGAATTCGCGAGACGATCGCGAAAGAGAGATTCGTTCGATTTTCTTTCACTGGTCGAAGCAGCAAGGCGCCTATTTCGACTCGCGTCGTTAAACGTTTCGAAGGCGATCGATTTGAAGAAAAAAAAAAGAGAAAAGAAAAAAAAAAAGAAACGCGTTATCGTCACACTTGCAGCGAGCTCCGACCTTTTATCGCGGCGTATCGGCACGGTTGATACGTCGATTCTTTCGGAAAACAAAGAGAGAGGGTCCCCTTTTCACGTGGCACCCGACGCGCAGTCGGTGATCAATAATTAGACTTTGCCGCGCGTATCGCGCGGAATACGCATGCCCGAATACGCGACCCGAGTGCGCCCAAATCTCGCGTACCCGTACCCGTCATTGATAAAGTTTTAATGATGTTGCGCCTGCGAACCGGAAATGCGGAACTTTCCACGCTCTTCGCGCTAACTTTCGGATCTGCATTTATATAGGTGCGATGAACCCTTCGAGACGCGTAACGAAAATGACGCCTCCTCGCGATTAGGTGAACGATGGTTCATATTTTGACACTAGATAGAGTCGAGATCCTTGAGCTTGGTGTCTTCAAGTTATTAATTGCGTGGCTCTAGGAATTTCAAGGTTATCTTCGTTATCTTCGAAGTTATTTTCGAACGAGTATTTCTTTATCCTCCGTTGTTTTTTTTTTCTTTTTTTTTTTTAAATTAAATTTTTCCTACTTTCGTGACAATAGAACGTATTATTATTATTATTATTATTATATTAATGTTGCTTCAAGAAAATCCATAGATCGTTTAATATGATATGACGCGCTATTGATTCCACGAATGGTTAACACTATCCATGAAATTGAAAATTTTTTCGAAAGTTTTTACAGTCGAATATAATCCGAAGTAGGATTAATTTCAAAGGAAGTGACCATTAATACGTCCTCGATGATCATAAAGGTGGACGTCGTCCAGGCCAAGGGATACAAAAGTAAGCTTTCGGCGCTCGTGAAAATCGAAGAAACGAATTCGAATCCTCGAAAAGAGTGGAAAGAGTCACCATTCCAAATCTCTAGGGAATAATTCTTTCTCCGTCCATTTCCTCAACTCCATACTTAAATATTTGGATACGATACGCGATCGAATTTTCATTTCAAATTACGACGGAAACTCGTTATAATAATTGAATATAAAAGGGATCAATCGCATCGACGAATGAATGATAGAAAACAAAGGATTAAAACGATTGATATAATCGTAACAATATTTATAATCGGATCAATCTCTTTCGCGTTCATCGATTTCATCAGTTTTTATTCCGACTTTGCCTTTCCTCCTCATCAAGGCCAAGTTCCCGTTTCACCCGTGATAAGGTGACGCTCCTCCCCTCGACAATTTTTCATCCTTAACTCGGGGAAACTTATCGACCTAAGCGCAATTTTTCAAACACCGCTTCTAAACTCCATCCTTTTGCCGGTGAGTGGTTCAATGGGCCAACCGAGCGTGGAAAATATTAAGTAACTGTTTCCAAGCCATTACCTCGATGCGCTCGCAAGAGCGACAAAAACATGGTCTTTGCGAAATGAGCGTATCTGCTGAATATATCCGTGCAAATTATGCGTTGATGATTGCATCGATTATCGCGCGACGTGGAAAATTGAATTCTTCCACATAAACCACAACGTATTTACTTACCTTAGTTCCAATCACCAATGATATTTATTCTGTTTATTTCTCCACGAGAATAATAAGATCGCTTTTTTCCTTATATAAATCTTTTTTTCAAATTTAAACTCGTCTTTCGACCTATCAATTCGATCGTCCATCGTGTTGAATTATTTTTACAATTTTAAAATTAATTAAATTTATTTTGTTAAATATTTTGTTAAATAACGTGTGTATGAATGTCGTCTTCCAAGTATCCATTGAAATTCGATATGAAGAGAATAACTGCATAGGATGGAAATAAACGGTACTTCATCTGGATCAAAACGAATCGAATTGGGTCGCGCGTATTCGCGCGAAGAGGATCGCGTGTCTCGATCCGTACACATCGGGGTGACATGCGACGTAGCCTTGTTCACACGAACAACAAACGTAATTTTATCTGCAAACGAATACCCTGGACTTGGTCTTTAATTTATTTTCAATTTTCCGAGACGATCCTTCGCGAAACACTCGGCGGAAATGGATGAATCGAATTTTTTTTTATCCACGTCGTTTCCTTCGATCCGACTCCGTTCGTGGATCATATCGCTTCAACAATGCCGCTAATTGTTTCCGGCATCTAACCACACGAACGATAATATCAAAAACTAATCATCGTTCGACCGAACTTTCTTTCATCCGTTTAAACGAGACGTTCAAATCATCGCGTTCGATCGACATTTTTGTCATATTCTCTATATCGGGGGAATAACGGTTGTGTAATTTATGAAAATTTCAAGCGCCAATTACAACACGAATAATCGTAATTTTATTTCGAAAAATAGTTAGATACTTCGAAACTCGCCCAATTGAATATAATTAACTAGCCAAGTAACTTTCTATAAATCTAATTTCTCCGAAACTTCAGAAACAGATACTCGGATCTCGTTAAATTCGAATCGAACGGACACGAGAGAAGAGGAGAGAAAATAAGAATCGTAAATTATCCGTCAGATTATCAATTTCAAATAAAAATGTGTATTTATAAATACATAACTAGTTTGTTAATTATTTCATGATTCATATCAATCCGAGAAGAGAATACAGGAATTCGCGCGTTAGAAGAACGCCGAGGCACGTACGAGCGATATAATTATGAAAAAGAAAAAAATAACACGTATCGTTATTTTTCACATTTTTTCCCTCTTCTTTTTTCTTCTCGAGACGTTTACTTTATTTACCTACTCGACAGAAGGATCGCAAAGATACGAGAAACGAGTTAGATAGACGAACGTGTGTATGCGCATATATATATATATCTGATGGCCTTAGTCTCTCCGACGTATTGCCACTGACTCTGACGACATTTCCGACTGACCCATAAAGCGACCGAGTCGATAAGTTCATCGATCCAAGGAACGCCGCTCACTTGTATGCACGCGAATTAAAATCGGTATACAGTACCGTGATGACGCGATAAAATCTCTTACGGTACCTCCTCGCGTACCATATTCCGTATGAAAATCCCCGCGTCGATGACAACGCGTGGTGCACACGATTGTAAAAGTAACAACATCTCGTTAAACCGAGGATAGGATCGTAATAGGAGCGTCGTTGCGAAAACGACGTCGCACCATTAACACCACGGATAAAACTTAAAACGTTCGAGAAAAAAAACCCAATTTCTCAAACAGGAGAATAGAGAGAAAGACGGAGAAGTAAGAATAATAATAATAAAAGAACCAAAGGTCCAATTATTCGTGGGCGAAGATCCAACGACAGAAAAGTATCCCCCGAAAAATGTCGGTGGCGGGTAAAGATGGTGGTAGCAGGAACGAGAATAACCGCGGCGAAAGAAAAGAAGAAGAAGAAGAGGAAGAAGAAGAAGAAGAAGAAGAAAAAGAGTAATAACCGGATTCGAGCCACCCCTGCGGAGCAGCAGTCACCGCGTTCCAGTGTCGGCCGCGCGAAGACGTTGGGCGCACGCGAGCACCCCCACAGACGCACAAATTCTCGTCTCGGTGGGGTGGCGGTGTGGGCGTCCGCGCATGCGACGTAACGGGAGTGGCTTGATCGGTGGAAGGCTGGAGGAGAGAACGGTTCGTGGAACGGCTTCAGTGTGCCTATTGCAGGGTTCCACGAGACAACTACCCCTCCCATACAGCCTAACCATCGTGGTTATTGTCACGGTGGACGTGTAGGCGCGCGCGCCCGCGCGCAACTCTCTCCTCTCCCTCTTTCCGCCGGCGTAGCGGCCGTTCAGCTGACTCGACGTATTCGCGAGGGGTTGTCCGACTGCGACTTCGCCGTGTCGAACATCATCTCGAGCTACGGCCGTTTCGTCCACGGAAAGAAACGTGCGAACCTCGACTAAGCATCTCGGCTTAGCATCGATCGTATCGATATCGTGTGGTGTTCGACGCGTCAATATATCTTATTCTTCTTCTTCTTCTTCTTCTCCTCTTTCTCCTCCTCTTGCTCATCCTCGCACGTACGCAGAGGGTGAGCGGGTGTACGCGTCAGTGTCGGAGGGGTGTGCTGCTGGTGAGTGTTGGAGAAACGCGTGTGTGCGTGTGCTCGGTGACACGAGGACAGATGCGAGGTAACACGACGTGCGGTTTTCCTGGGGACAACCAGTCCGCTTCACGTTCACGTCGTCGATTCGCGCAATGACAATGGTAAGACGTCCCCGGGGTTGTCTCGCTAGGGGGATGTGCTTTTGCTAGCTTCCTTGACCGCGATGGGTTATACGTTCGTTTTATCGAACGATTCGTTCGTTCCTTCCTTCTCTCTTCGTGCGATTTTTTTTTTAGTACACACGCGAGCGGATGTATAGGAGGGATGGAGGGGAATGGAAAGATCGAGTAGAGTTTTTGGAAAACGTACGTTCTTCGGTTGGAAGATTCTATTCGGTGGGAGAGAATCTCGTACACGGGGGTGGAAATGAAATAACGGGGATTGGAAAGAGTGGGAAAATCGATGTGTGCGGATACAATCAGGCTGAATAGGATTGGATAAATCAAAAACGTTCGATGTAAATGTTCGACTGGTGTTAATCTCTAGTTTAGCGTTACGATTCCTACGCGTCGAACGTGCGTGCGTGGTCTCGCGTTCGTATTCGTGAGAGGGGTTCGTGGGATGCGTAGCAACCATATGCAATCGTTGTCTATTTTTTCTTCCTTTTTTCTTTCTAATAATCGTGTCAACGTTAATTTTTATTTCGTTTCTTCCATTTCTATGTATTTTGATATATATTGCAATTTAAAGTCTTTGTCTTTATCTTATTCGAGACTTACGTAACGGTGAAAGTGTTTATTTGCTCGAATTATTAGTTTCGATTTTTAACATTGAATTTAAATTTTCTAAATTTTTCAAATATATTAACTTGTTCGACGATTTTGATCTTTTTACCGATGACGAAGATTTTCGTTCGAAAGGTCAGAGATTTGCTATACGTTATTCTTCGTGCGTCACACGGTTTCAATTGAAACACACTGATAATCAATCGATTTGTCCAAGTGTCGCGCAAAATTCTTGGTCGAAACGAGCGCGTGTATTACAACATACTATCGATGCATCCGCATTAACCGCTTTGTAACAGGTGGTATATACCTCGATGCAGACGTGATTAAGAAAAACTTACTCTTGAAAAATATATATATCATTGTTTCTCCGTCAGAATCATTTTCTCTCTTTTCGTAAAATCGTAAAATTTTAAGAAAATTATTCCATCCAAGAATTCCAACGCCAATCGACCAATCAAACTTTTCTTGAAAATTCACACGAACAATTCATTAACAACAACGCGGACTAAGCGTTCGTAGGCGTGATCAAAGAAATTTCTCTCTTCACATCCGAACGAATTATTAAAAAATCGATCGTTTCTTCGAAGAGTTGGCCAATAAGAGAGAAGATTCAATGGGCGTAAAATAAATAAAGAAATATCTCCGTTCGATTTATATTTATAGGCTATACGATATACGCGCGTTATATACGAAATCGCGGATAGCGGTTTTATTCGCAATTCAACCGTGTGAATCAACTTTTCAACCCGACCGACAACCATGACGTATCCAGCCCGTCGACCACAACCGCGTGTTATCTCGAAGGAGAGCGCACTTCCCTCGAGATACGAAAAACTCGCGTAACGCCGGCCAATGTTATTTTTAGATACGATTTCTTGCATCGAGGTAAACGTTGCCATCGGGATTTCAGACACGTGATAAAAATGCGTCTCGCGCGAGACAAGGTTCGCGATGGTTGGAGGTTCGCGGGCGTGATCCCGAGAAAATGAACGCAAGGTCGGCGGATCATGAATCACGAGAACGGCTGAAAGGCGGGTGCACTGCGTACAACAAGAGGAGGCGGGTGAGGTGAAAGTGAGGATGAAGAAGAAAGAGTGGCGTTCCTAATTGGAGAATGAGCGGATTTTTCAACTCCCTGAAAAACTTCGCGTCAGGAGCCGCGTACGCTGCCAGCTCTGCCTCCAAGTACGAAGAATTGGAAGGTGAACAATCCTATTTACAACGATGCGCCACACCACGTGTGCGTGCGCGTGTCCACGGCCAATGGAATATCAACGTTCGATTTATCGTCCATGTTGCATGCGAATTTCAATTTTAACCTTTCTTGTGGCTTTGTGGCTTTTACGTTCTACGAAAGCTCTCCTCCTCCTTTCTTCGTTTCGATTTCATTTTTTTTTTTTTTTTTTTTTTTGCTTCAACGAATGGGTGAACGGGACGTGATTCCAATTCTGAAAAGTGTAAGAGTTTATCCTTCGTCTATCGATGATGGAAAATGGATTTTTTTTCTCGAAGTTTACAATAATTTTTCTCGATCGAATCGACACGATACGATTTTCGTCACGTAACGAGGATTACGTTTGTACGCAATTGATTGAACGGAGTAATTTTTCTGACTTATCCAAGCTGGAGATGCGTAACATTATCTCCAAGTCGGCTTTTTCCGTTCCAGTTAGCAACTAGAAAATAATGATATTCATTCTCGTGTAATCCGGTGATTTATATGGGATAGAGTAATCGTGTATAGGAATATCTTGGATTACGATTTATCTACGACCTTATGAAATACCTTGTAAGGCGTATAGATCTCAAGGATGCAAACTACTTTTACAGGCTACTAGAAATTCATGAAACGTCCGACAATTGAATAAGTTGGAATTGAGTTTCTCAAGAGAGAGAGAGAGAGAGAGAGAGAGAGAGAGAGAGAGAAAGGGAGAGAGGTTCGATCACACGCATTCGTGCTTTATTTCCAATGGCTCGATTAAATTGGACTTTTCGTTCAAACAAAACCTCCGCTCGACGCTCGAAAGGAGATTCAGTTTACCGGTAACCTAGTGAACTCGCCAAGCTTATCCTTGAACAACAAAGGGATAATGGAAATCAATCCACATGTGTATTTGTATTACGTTCTGATAGGTCGGTTATGGGCTACTCGTTTATCCAAGCCCGATTGTAAAATTTATGATGGAACAAGTGGCTACTTCAACTTGATGACGCCAAGTACTTATGCTCGGTTAATTAATTCCTCGTGTTTCACATTCGAATATAAATACGTTTTCTTTCTTGTTTTTCGTTCAATCGAAAACCGATTGAATCGCGACGCGTTCAACAACGTGGTTTCTGAAAGAACCAAAAATTGTGATACTTAATTACTTCGTTAGGCCGCGTATAAAAACTGTAAAAAAAATATCGAATAGCTGCGAAGTGAATTCGTTACAATTTTTATTATCGAAATCTCTCTGGATTAAAATTAATTACTTATTATCATTTCTTTTATATTCTCTATCTACAACGAGTCTAAACAAGTTTAACGATAATTTACTATTGATCGAGAAATATATTCGTGTTCCAGAAGAAAGAAAGAAAGAAAGGGGAAAAAAAAGAAAAGAGAGATCTAAAATTCTAAAATTGAAATTTCGCAAAAGCGAATCCGATTTCATAAAGTTGAGCGTTCACGCGATGTGCGTCGCATAATCGATTCGAAGATTCACGCTTGCTAATTAAATAAGGGTGTTAAAGGCGATGAAACTTGTCTGGCCGATAAACGTATTAACGAGCCTCGGGTTTCGGTGATCATCGAGGCGTTCAATCCTCGATTTAACCGTTCCATCTTTCGCCGTTTTGCTCGTCGCGTCGCGTTGCATCAAGCTAGACGTCCGATTATAAAACTTTGTAAACCGACGTTTAAATAGGGGTTGGCATTTCGATCGAATCAAGGACATTAACGTTTCCGTTCGTTCAACGCTATTCAAACTTTCCCCCAGCTATTCGACGAGTAATCTGTTTCATCCCCATTCGCTACTCTGACAATACGCGGAATTTCGTGTTAATTCGACGAAAGTTCGACGAGTTCGACGATTATAATAGAGTTGTTATTAGTTGTCTCACGAATATACATTCGTCCCTTTTCACTTTTTTTATTGTTTGCATACAATAAATTTTTATTTCGTTCTCGTTCAGAAAAACAAAAATCTTCTCTCCAAAATCCACTTTTTTCTCGAGCATTTTCAATTTACAGTCGAAGACACGAAGATGAGATTCAGCCTGACTCCGCAACCGGGAGAAAGTGGTTTCGTACAATGGCTGGACGCGATGAAAATGGTAGCCAGGTTACCAGGAGGGATTCCGCCGGAATTTCGAAAGAAGGCGAGTATCAGAAGGCGAGATTCTCTAAATATTTCTATAATTCCACGAGTCGTCGCGATCCTCATTTTTCTTTATTCACTTTTTCCCCTCCCCCTTTTTTTCTGAATATTTCACAGTTATGGCTGACGCTGGCGGAACGTCATCTGGAGCAACGCGGTGTGGATTGGAAGCAGGCTGAAAAGATCTGCTTCAACGAGTGGAGCAATCCTGACGATGAAGAGCTCGGTATACAAATCGTTAAAGTAAGAAACGTATATCCTTTTCTTTCTTTCTTTCTTTCTTTCTTCTTCTTCTTTTTTTCTAATAATTCCTCGCATAATAAAACCGTGTTCTCGTTAATTCCACGTTAATTCATCTCATCTCTCGGTGTCGTAATAATAACGACAACGATGGGATTCCTTGAACAAGTATCGTCTAAAATTTGAAATTCAAATATATATCCGCTTCTTCTTTGTTTTTCGTTTCTCCAATCTTTTCGTCTCTTATCGTTAACGAGCGCATTATTATTAGACGAAACCTCGTCTTATCGTCCAATCAACTAACAGATATTTAAAAACTGTTTAGTTTGATCTTATTTTCGTTATTATCCCTTTGCCGAATAATTGTTCAATTTACACAAAATCGCTATCGACAATTCCTTCTCGCGATACATATATACACATATACGAAACCAATTTCTCGACTCACGAACAAACAGCTTTCACTCTTCGTATTTATTTCCCGCGCAGTTCCAAAAACGAATTCTTCTTCCCTAAATAATTTCCTCCCCGGGGAATTCGAAATGGGAATTCGAAAACCAGTTCTCCCTTCTTGTGTTCGAAAAACTCGTTGGGTTCGAAAAACTCCCTCCCCCCACTCCCCTCCCCTCCCCCCACCGTATAATTACGCGCAATTAAATTTCGATCATCAATCACTTCGACGCCGGGCAATTAAGTGTCGCCGATGAGCCTTCCAATTAACTCGCTCGCGACGAGAAAAAGTGACCTTTAACGAAGCTGGCCTGCACAGTCAAATCCAACCAGCTCGTTTCGCTCCACCTCCTCTTTCCGTTTCATCATCTTATCCTGTCACCTCCATTTCCATTCGCAAAATCCTATATATAAATGTATATATAAATATGCAAACGTGTATCGTTTATATAACAGGTATAATCCACGCCGACTTTTCACAGGATCTACACAGAACTGGGTGCAGTCTGTTCTGCGGCGCGGCTGGGAGAGACAATCAAGCGGTGCTTCGCCGGGTTCTGCTCGGTTTCGCCCGATGGAACAAGTCTGTCGGCTATTGCCAGGGCCTGAACGTGTTGGCCGCCCTCGTTCTGCAAGTTATGGATCGGGCCGAGTCCGCGGCCGTGAAAGTGATGATCTACTTGATAGAGGGTGTCCTGCCCGAGGGTTATTTCGCGGACAATCTTCGCGGCCTGTCGGTCGACATGGCCGTGTTTCGAGATCTGCTGCGGGCCAGGCTGCCCAAGCTCTCGAAACACCTGGAGGCGCTTCAGAACGACGCGAAGGACAAGGCGACAGGTAACCAAACTGGTTGTGCAATCGTAACTCTCTTCGCTCGATTCGCTCGGACGAAGCCACTGTACGAGGAGGCTCGTCTCGTCGGTGAAAAAAAGAGAAAAAAAAGAAAAAAAAAGAAAGAAAGAAAGAAAGAAAAAAGAATTAAAAATTAAAAAGAGGAAAGAAAAGAAAAAGGGAAACGTTTGTCGTTAGGCAGCAGTTACGAACCACCTTTGACCAATGTGTTCACGATGCAATGGTTCCTCACTCTCTTCTGCCATTGCCTGCCCCAAGAGGCCGTCCTCCGTGTCTGGGATCTGATATTTCTCGAGGGAGACGAGATATTGCTAAGAACCGCGCTCGCCATATGGGAAGGACTCTCCGAGTAAGTGGATCGAGGAAGAGGATCGAGAATTTATAGGTTCGTTTATCCGGGTTCGACGTGGCGCCATCACGTGTCCTATCGTTTGATTTTAGTCGTATCATGACGGTCACATCGGCGGACGAGTTTTACAGCATAATGGGAGTGTTGACGAGAGAGATGCTCGAGTTCACGGATACTAACAATCTCGTAAAGGTTTGTCCGTACCCTTGTCTCGCTTTTAATTGCGATTATTGCAACGATTTTTATTTTCGGCGTGACGACGTCAGAGTGTTATTATTGGCAGAACATCGTCAGTATGGGAACTCTGCACGGTGTGACAGGATTGAGGGAGAAGCACAGATATAACATCACACCTTGGGCGAGGAAACTTAGCGACGACGACGACAGCGATACCGAGGAGGATGAAAGGTTGGCCGTGGCCGCTGCCATGTTCAGCATGGCGCAACGCTTGAAGAAAGGTGAGAAAGAAATACGTTAACATTGTAATTATTGTATACCGTTACGGCATTAGCCCGTGGCTTGTTTCACATCGCGAGAGAAAGAAAGAGAGAGAGAGAGAGAAAAAAGAAAAAAAAACACGTTCGCAGATCGTATACCACAAACGCTTGGAGCGCTGCAGGCCATGGCACCCAGCAGCGATCGAGAACGACTCGCTTTGGATATTAGCACGTTGAAACAGCAATACGCCAAGCTGCGGGAAAGGCAACGGCAGGCCCATATCATACTTTCGGGTAATCGCCGATCCTAATCGTAAAATTAGATGTATTTTCCTAAGGTTTAAGGCACGATAAATCATCCATCGCTTTGAGATGCGTGCTTGACGTATACGTTCCGCGTACATTCTACACAGTTCGTGTAGAAATATGACCGATGGAAGTACGTTTGTTGCAAATTGAACGGCTACAAGAATGCACACTTTTTTTTTTTCTTTCCTGGCGCAGCTGCATGTGCAAGGCAGACCATGGTACCACCTCCTACTTCTCAGGCCATGAATCATCTTTTAGTGGGCAAAAGTGCGCTCGTGAGTGGGAAGAATCGTCCCTTGACTTTATCTTCCGGCGCTGCGTCGACGAAGACGAGACCTACGAGTTTAAATCAAAACCGAAGGGATAAACAGGGTGTCACGCTTCATTGGAAAGACACGAAAAAACCCAAGCAGAAACCTTCCAACGCAACAGGTAAAGGTAACGGAAGTGTATCCTTGTCGTTAAACGTTTCCAACAATCTGGCCTTGAATTTGTCTTTTACTATTAATTTTAAATTTTCCTGAACAACAATTTTAAATTCGACAATTTTAAATTTGCTTCTCTTTAAATTTATGATATTTCGCTTATCGATCGATGATAACGAACCTCCAAACCATGGTAATGTAGGAAACTTCATTTTGTTCAAGAACGTACTTTCTGTTGGTGCACATTGCCTACCAATGATTACGATCGCACAAGATCTCCACAAATCTGTTTTATCTACGGTAGTGATAAAACGAGTACAGTACTCGTACCCTCTTCTAACAATATTTTAATAATTTTAACAAAATAATATACAAACGATCTTCGTTTCGCTCGAGCTTTTGTGCTCAATTACGTTTCATATTCGCTCCAACGAATTTTACGTAATCGATAATTTGTAATTTTTGGCCATCTGTAATCCTGCGATCACTCATCACATATATACATTTCTCCTCTATTCGTTGTAGAACCGGTCGAAAGCAAAGTTGTCACGCCACGATCCACGGAAGCTGACCTATCTCCAAAGCACAGCAACGTTGACAGCGACAGCGACAGCACGTCGACGGAATTGTGCGACGAGCCAGATCGTCTGAGCGACGTTGACAGCGAGGATCTGACCTCGGCATCCGAATCCTACGCCGCTGGAACGGACGAGGAGAAGAGCTCTCGAATGGATGGTTCGCCGATACCCGAGAAGACCCTCGATCCTTTCCTCGAGGAGAGAGACGAGCCAATCGACGCCGACGATTCGACGAAAGATTCGAAAATTTCCGAGGAGAGCTTGGCCGACATGTCGATCGCCAAGATTACCGATCAAATAAGACGATTATCGGCAGAGGATGACAATAATTCCATGGTTCCTCAAAAGTTTAATAACGCGCAGGGCAAAGAATCGCCCGAGGGCGAGCAATCGAAAGAATTGAGCACGGAGAAATCGGCGCCCGACCCGTCTACAGATATCTACACTTCCGATACAAAAGCAAAAAAATCGTCGGTTTTGAACGACTACGATTATTCGAATTTCGGTGGCACTTCGAAACAGGACGACGTACATAAATCTAAACGGACAATGGACGAGATTGTCGATCGAAATTACGAAAATACGACAATCGAGAAAGATCGAATCGAGGACGAAATCGGACAACCGAACACGATCGTAATAGAACAGGATTGTTCGAGCGCGTATTCGGATTATTCGACGCCGTTGGATGCGAAGTACGATAGAATTGCAGACAAACCATCGACCCTCGATTTGCCAACGATCGAGAATGAAATTAAATCGGATCGCTTCAAAACATCCTACGATTTCTCGACGAGCAGAATGCCTCTGGAATTGGATCCGTATAAAAGTTTAATCATCAATGACACTTCGGAGATTTCGGTGAATAAAACAGGCGAGAGAACAGGTCTCTACGGCAAGACTTACGTCGGTCACCTCCCCATCTCTCCGATCACGGTCGATCAAAAGTTGAACAGAACGACGCCGATCAAACACGAGATTCGCAACATCGTCGGATCGATTATCCCCGACCAACCGGCCAAGACGAAATTGGAGACACCTTACATCGCTGAGAGAACGCACACAGCTGGCTCAACTTCGTTGGAAACGTCGTTAGAGAAGATGGCATCGTACGACATCCGGGTAGAAAAATCCAGCCAGACAAAACCGTACGCCGTGGATCTGGCGAAGAGTCCCAAGACACCCGAGAGCAACAAATCCTTCAGCTCGGGCGAAACGATGGGGCCTGACTCGAAACCGTCGAGCTTGACCGTGAGTCCAAGAACCCCGGTCAGATCGGATTCTCGAGATTTTTCCATGGACAAGTCGGTGTGCTCGTCGGTCAGTTCGGATTCGAAAACGTTGGTGCTTCGCTCCGTAGACTCCGACGGGACGAAGGACAGCGGGTGCAAGACGGAGGCGAGGAAGATGTACGAGATGTCCAGCTCGACGACGCCCATCAGCGTGGACTCGTTCAAGACCAAGTCCATTGAGGCGAGCCCAGCGAAACTGATCGTGAGCAGTTCCAGCGAGTCGTGCAGCCCGAGCAAACTAAAGTCTTCCGAGAGGTCGTTCAGTTCGGACCTCCAATCGCCAATAAGTGCCAACTCGATAAAGTATACCTCGAATTTCGCTAGACGGGGCCAAGACGACGTGTCGGGCTCGCCCATGGATCTCAGCTGCGCCACCTCGCCCTTCTACCCGATCTCGAATCCGAATCAAAAGACGCCCACCTCGCCCTACAGCGTGTCCAGGCGAAGGTCCAGCTTGGACAGCAGCGAAACCTCGCCCGAGCAGAAATCGAGGGACAGCAGTTCGAGGGAGTCGACGAGCAAGTTCCTGGGCTCCTATCAGGCCAAGTTCGACTCGTCGTCGTTGAAATTGTCGTCCGAAATTCTCGACAAGGAGACGGCGGATGACACGGCGGCGCCACGAAAGGGGGAGAGCTACGTCAGATCGGAGTTGGGCGTGTCGAGGATGCACGAGGACTCGGCCGTCAAGTTGACGGACAGAAGGAAAGAAAGCGTTGGCGACGTCGAGTATTATCATCAAACGAGCACCGATTATTACAGAAAGGAAAAGGACACGTACGACGATGGAGGGGACGATCCACTGTCGGAGAAGGACGTGGTGCCCTCTCTGCCCCAGGAGAAGTTGGACAAGCGTTACTTCAATTATCGTTACAGGGATCGGTCGAAATTATTGGAAAGAAGTTCGAGCAGTTTGGACAGCAGGAGGTACGCCGACATGAAATCGTCGGCGTCCGCGGACGAGTTCACGACCACGATCGCGAAGAAGAGGTCGAGCGACATTTTGGAGGATATCAAGCATCTCGAGGCGAAGGCGAACGACGGGATGTCGGAGAGCGGTATGCTGTCGAGGAAGAGCAGTTACATCTGGGAGGATATAAAGAGTTTGGAAGCGAGAAGACGGGATACGTTCAGTAATTCTGCGAGGAATTTCTCCAAGCATCGTCTGGAGATACCCGACATCAATGTAACGGGCGAGGGTAGAAAGTCGTACGTGGTACGTCCGAGGATCAACATCGACGAGAACAGCGACAGCATATTGAAAAGCGTAAGTTGCGGCAAGAGCAACGACACCGACGACGGCAGGGAATCCAAGCTGGGCGTGTGGACCAAGGTGAAACCCCGGAAGAAGAGCGAGAACGGGCGAAGGAACAGCGACAGGGCGTTGAAGATCATTCAAGAGAACTCGGCTATACTCCAAAAGATCCTCGCTTGCCAAGCGAAGAAACGTTTGCCCGATCTCGAAGAGATATCCAAAGAGATCACCATCAGCCCTATAAACGAGGAAATCTCGAAGATCTTCAGCCCGATATTGGAGAAGATGGGATTGAACGAGCACGAGATCAACGAGGAATTGGCGCGGATCAATTTCAAGGACTTGGACAACATGACCGCCACGAGCGTGTCCGAGTTCGACGCCAAGATCAACGAGGAGTTGTCCAAACTTTCGCTGATCGACGAAACGGAACAGACGGATCATTTCGACGTGGGCGAAGCGATATCCCACGAATACCTGGACACCAGGGAGGCTTTGATCGATCGCAAGATAAACGAGGAGTTGTCGAAATTGTTGGCCAACTACGACGACGATCGTTCACCGGCGAGCACCATGGTAACCATGGACAAAGGGACGACGTCCAGTCAAAACGTGAGCGAGATCGAGGGACTGGATCTTTCCAGCATCTCGACCAACGTGTTCCCCTACAAATCGTCCAACGATTCGATCGACGCGCGAAGCGACCTCCCCTCGATCCAGGAACCGTCGATACCATCGGTCGTCGACAAGTATTCTAAATACACGGAAAACGTATTACCGTACACGGTATCGAAATACCAGGTGGACGATTCGTCGCCGAAGAGCGACATAGACATTTACAGAGAACTGGAGAAGCTGGATAAAATCTCCTCCGCGCAAGTGTTGCCGGATCCGAGTCTGGACCTTCCTCCCCAAAAGGAATTGTCTTCGATACCGTACGTCCCGAACAAATCTCCTTTCGCGGACGTGCCATCGTTGAGGTACGCCTCTAAACCGGTTCAATACGACACCTCACCCCTCGACACCTCTTACGACCCTTACAACACGTTCGACTATAAGCCCAACTCGTCGCCCAGCAAACACTCCGCCTCCGTCTCTAACCCGTTCGCGACCACGGCTTCGTACGAGAAGCCGGGCGTCGTCGAAACCGCGGTATTCGAGTACATCAACCATAAACCGGAGATATCGATCAACGCGTACGACCTCCGCCTCAAGAGTCCGATCATGAGCAAAGAGTCGTTGGAATTTCGCGTCAGATACGAGGACGAGCCGAGCAGAGAAGTCGGCGCCGATTACGCGTCCCTTCAACCCGAGGTTAGACCCATCCCCACTCCGAACAAATCTCCTTACTTCAGCAATGGAAACACCGAAATACCGTTCACGCCCACCAAGTACCAAGTTTCGAAAGAGGAAAGAGGATGCTTGGACGCGACCACAGGTTCCTCGTTCCTGCACGAGTACGCGAGCGAATCCTCCGACGTTCTTCGGATTCGCAAGTACGACCCGTTGTCTCCCAAGGAGTATTGCCACGCCAAGAGCACGCAAGACACGTACGACAGACACTTGGGCGGCGCGTTGCCCACTCTGGACACGGGGGCGGACTCGTCGGAATCGTATTTACCGACGAGGCTGCACACCAGCAGGGATTATCACAGCCTGTCTCCGAATCGTCAATTCCCCGACAAACATTTCTCCTCGACCGTCAATCACTACGCCTCGAAACTTTCCCCGACGAGTTTATCCGACGAGTCGAAACGGCCCGTCTCCCATCCGGAATTCCCCGGCAAGATGAGCATTGGAAAGTATCCGGAACTGCCCGACCGGGGCCCCACCCACGGTTACAAGAAATCGTCTCTGAGCCTGGGGAACATAGGGCACTCGAGCAAGGACGAGAACAATTACAGCAACGCGGTGACCAGCCCCAAGACCCAGTTCAGCCCGTTCCCCGTTAGAAACGCTCCCAGAAAGCCCAAAGAGCTCACGCTCAAATTGGGCCTGTACTCGCCCAAGGGCTCCGATCTGGGACAATTGAAGAGGTCTTAGTGCACGAGGATAATTATAATTTTTCTGATTCGTCGAGTTCTGTTCTATTCTGCCTCGTACGATCGATGAACGATTGTTTCTTTCCTTGTTGAATATTGTCCTGGAGAAATGTGGTCGGACCATGATGCTGTCGAAGCGGGCCTAAAACGATCGTTTCTCGTTTTGCGGTGCCTCGTGTTGCCAACGGCCGAAATTACACGCGTAACACACGCGTCGTTTACGAAATTTAATGCACGGATATCGATCGTAGAAATTGCTGGCGTTTGCCTTCACATATACGTATATACATACACACACACACACACACACACATATATATATATGTTCGAAATTGAACATCGATGGAGAGACATTTATAAACGTTTTTAAAAAAGCCTACGCTTCTGAGCGCGATGTATCGACGATAAAGGGACGACGCGTCAGAAGGAAGAGATATCGCGTTACGCGCAAGAATATCGTTGAACACGACCTATCCGTCATTTATCAATCGCGTATTCAACCCCCTTTAACGTTATATAATCGTGTAAATCGTTTTCCCCCGGATGTTTATAGTTTACGAACGTTGATCAATTATACAGACGAGTTTTTTTACGAGTTCCGCTTGATACAGCTTGACACACACACACACACAGGAAATCTCCCCGACGTAGAAAACAAATAGTGATAAAGAAAGTATGAGAGAGAGAGAGAGAGAGAGAGAGAGAGAGAGAGAAGAATGTGTGAGAGATAAGAATGGAGAGAAAGCTTAAATGGAATAACGTAGAAATCCTTGGCGAAAACGTTTACTCGTGCGATTTCTAATGCGATGCCTTCAATCTCCCTCCAATCACTCAGAGAAAGAAAAAAAGAAAGGAAAGAAAAAAACCTCGTTATCGCGTCTCGATTATTCAGTAAATTTGCGATAAGTAGTCCGTGGAAGCGCACGAAGCTTACTGGGGAAGAGAGAAAGAGAGTGAGAGAGAGAAAGAGAGTGAGAGAGAAAAGAAGGAAAGAGGAAAAGAGGGAAACGTTAACAAAATGCCTTCCATTCCTTCGAACGCGATTCGCATTACCACGGTGTAATCTCTCTCGCGTGCGATCGTAAATCACCCCACTGATCGCCAAGATCGCCGTGGTAACGTGAAATTTCCTTCGAACAGATACAGAATATATAGACGCATATATATATATATATATATATATATATATATATATATATATAGAGATTGTATAAAATTATAGAAATTGTTATGACGAAGTCGCGATGTAGAGCTTAATTTGTCCGTACATTTTGTCCGCATAAGGAACCCTAGTCATGCAGTGGAGGGGGCGTATCGTTTAAACTAAGGATCAAGCACCATTATTCGGGGGCTGCTGACACGAAAGGGGCAGTGAGGCAGAAAAACAAATTGTACATAATTATATAGACGTTAATTGTATATTGTTAAAGCGAAAGAAGGGGGAACGAAACAAGGGAGAATAGAGAAAGAGAAAGAGAGAGAGAGAGAGAGAGAGAGAGAGAGAGAGAGAGACAGACCTTTTTATATAAAATAAAAGTAGTATTTTTTTAGATGTTTCTAATACGAGGAGATACTCGTACCTTCAACATTATTGATGAACGTACGATAACGATAATTGGAAATGCTTGTCGCGGGAACATCGTTCTTCTTGCAAAATTATTCGTTCGTTCTGAACTGCGAAGAAGGCAATCTCTTTGTTTCAAAAAAAGAAAAAAAAAAAAAAAAAGGAAAAAAAAGAAAAAAATTTAAAATATGGTCTATATAAGGAGGAATTAACGGAGATATTTTTAATTCAATTATTATTATTAATTAAGTTACTTTTTATATACTACGTATATCTTTTAAGCTATGTATATCTTTTATAATATCTATCTACACATTATGTATAATCTTATTAAGGATAACACGAATCTTGTTACACTCTCGATTGATATTTTATAAAGTTTCGTTCTATTGTAACTTGAACGATGGTTTCAAAAATCGATAACCAAGAAATTCGGGGTTCGGAGTCGTCAACAGTCGGAACATATATGATTGCGGGAGGGAGGGGAAATTCTCTCGTGCAAGCGAAATTAAACGAAATAATTCCGCGGAAAGAGTATTATATAGAGCAGATAACCTGCAATTTATTTTCATCGGCTTGCATAGCGATATATAGATGTCGGTCTGTCGATCATTACGTCCAATTTAATCACCGATGGCAGGTAGATTCGTCAATTCGCGAAAATCGGTCGCGTCAAGATTTTTATACGCGCCGTTTAAACTCTCGAATGAGGAATAAAATAATAGTTCAATAACCCAGAGGAGAGCAGAAGCGAGGATCGTCGACGAAAAAAATTGTTTCCAAGTAGCTGCGTTAATGTGCCTCTACGATCATCCGCGTCTACGTATTAACGATTAAATTAACAACGACGTATCTAGAGTTTCGGACGGAATAAATTGGAAGAAAAAAAGGAAAAGAAAATTTTTGCGCCATGAGAAAAAACGAAAGATAAATATCGGTTTGTTGTCCTTGTCTCTCTGTACGTCGATTATGATATATAAGGAAAAAAAAAAGGAAAAAAGAAAAAAAAAAAAAAAAAGAAAAAAATCACGCTTCTAGAACAAAATTTTTACGCGTGTTATGAACTAGCTTCTTCTAGGGACAATTCCACGCTGATTCAACTACGCGGAGAAAGAACGGAATTTTGCGAATAATTGAAATCGAATGCACGTGGATCGTCGCACGCGAAGCTTTGCGCCAAATTTTGCACTTGATTAAAAAACAATGCGTAAACCTTCTCTCTCGCGTAATGAAATCTCTCGTGTCGTACGAGTTTGCATCGTTTGCATGATATTTAGATCCGACGCGGACCAACGGTGCGATTTTGTTGCGATTTCGTAATTGCATCCATCCGTCAGATTTGTGATCGCCGCCTGTTTGACGCCGTTCAACTACTACACGTATTTGTAACATTTAACGGAATATCGAGGATGAATATATTTATATATTTTAAATAACAAAAGTGAGACAGATAATAATTATAGAAATAATTACGAAACAAAATATATATTATATTTGAAATAATATCTCGAATAATAATATATATTTAAAAAATACAGCTATATAACTAAAGTATAATAATTCTATTAAATTTACATTAACCATCCCGTGTACGCGTATTTGCCGTCACGTTATCGCTAATAAACGCCTCGTTGTTAACATATGCATGGCATACGATTATCGCTTGATGAGCAAAATATTCGTGTCATTATCGAGAGAGAAAGAGAGAGAGAGAGAGAGAGAAAGAGAGTATTGATACCGTGCTATTATCGTTAAATGGACACGTTTCTATTAAAATGCGCGAACAATGCTCCGATGCTTTTCACGCTGTATACTATCAGAACAGGCGACGACTTTTACATTTCTAATTAATCGTTTCGATCGCGTCATTATCATCATATATATATATATATATATACGTATAATTCTGAACCATTGAAAATACAAATCTGTAATAGAAATCTGTTTCAGTTACCGTATGTTATAATTATACATATATATATATATATATATATGTATTATCGAAATCGTAATAACGTCGCATTTCTAGTTCGCATCGAGTTTCAAATTACGATATTTTCACGACCACAACGGGGACGAAAACGAGGAATCGCCGCCTACATATATATAGGGATATAACCGTCACGTTCTTCCGGTGACGAGCGGCCAAATCCGCTAGTGAACCGAATCGATAGCGGTTCGGAAAGCCACTGTGAGGAATAGAAAGTATTCGTAAAAAGGTGCTTTAACGAGGTATTTGGCGCGTTAGATGAAACCAAAGGTAAAAAAAAAAGAGAGAAAAAAAAAAAAAGAAAAGAAAAAAAAAACTATCTAGAAACTTAGATAACTCGGTTAACGAGTCTCGGTTCGAAGATCAATTAGTGTGCCATCGTGGAAATGATGGTCGTTTCTCGAAAGGCGGAAGGAAATAAGCGTCGTTTGGTTGGTTCGTTCGAATTCGATTTTCGACACTCGATTCACTTCGTTTGTGACAATTTCCCGGATATATTATATCGTTGATCCGACAATATGACACGCGTTCCCTTTTATTCATTTTCTAAGGTTATTTGTCAACAGCGCGGAAGCATTTTTTAACGTACATGTTAAAACACGAAATTATTATATTATGTAGTATTATTACATATATATACTATATATACATATATATATATATGTATTACAAAGTGGTCGAAGTTTTTTCTACGCAGGTAATCGAAGAGAAAATTAGTTAAAGGGGGAAGGGGGAGTAGAAAAAGAAAAGAGGAAAGGGGATGTATTTTAGAGAAATGTCGCCTTCGTGTGACGATCGTCGCGAACCGTGATGCGAGGGCACACGAATCCTATTAGAAAAAAAAAATAAATAAATAAATAAAGTGATTTATAAAGAAATGTTATATTTACAAAAAAAAAAAAAATGTGCGAAATTGTTACGTGACGTTTTGTGAGAATTGTTGTAAATACCTGTCGGTACGAGAGTAATGGCAGAGTATAAGACTGTATATTTGAGAAGAGATAGAGATGTAAATCGTTACAAATAAAGAAAAAAAGAAGAAGAAAAAAAAAAGAGAAAAATAAACGGAATAAATATATTGAGAAACAAACTTTGTTCCGGCGTTCCTCCGATTCTACGTATATTCAATCCAGAATAAATTTCTAGTATCGAATAACATTGGCGATATATATCCTTTAATAAAAATACCATTCTATACCTAGAACCTTCCTCTCTCTATGGGAAAAGAAAACAATATCCTATTTTAACGTGAATCTTTCGTTTCGTTCCTCGCAGAGAGAAGATAGATTTTAAAAAAGAAAAGAAAAGAAAAGAGAAGAAAAGAGAAGAGAAGAAAAGGAAGAAATCGAGAAATGAGGAGGAAGAAGAAAAAAATAGAAATCTAAATCGTTGGAATATTATCGTCGAAACTGATCGACTAAAAAGCTCTTTTCGCAATACCCTTTTTCCACGAACAGAAACGTGGTCCCAATATCTTGCGCTAGAATGGACATTTCATTTCGTTAACACGATTACGCGTATTCGTGCGCGGAGTATCGCCAACTCATTTTAATTGGGATTACGTTTCAATTAAAACTCCGTTCCCCATTAGGCGGTACCCGTTGAGTTTTCGAGAATAATTGATACGAACAACACGTTATCCGATTGCGAGCCTGGATAAAATATGCATGTTTGCCAATCAAAAGGTGTCCAGGGTTATACACACCTGCTCTCGCTCCCTTCATTGTCTGGATAAATACGCGATTACCGACGCCTCTCTGCAGATACCACGTGTATGTATACACAGTGTTACGTTTGTAGTGAGAATAATGGAATATCTGACAAAAAGTTGAAGCTGAACGGGAAAAATGTTCTTACTAAAAAAAACTTGATTGTTCTTTTCTTTTTCTAACATTGTTTTCCTTCTCTTTCATACGTTTCAAGTTTCGCAAACTCCGAGTAATTTTCAACACGAGTAATTTAATACTTTCTGATCTGCGAAATAGCAAACTGTATGGATTTGTAGTTTTAAAAAAAATAATATAGTTTCATTATAAAAAAAATATAAAAAAAAAAAAAAAGAAGAAGAAGAAGAAGAAGAAAGCATATATTATCTTCGTGACTTCCATACAAAAGCTACGATAAAACTTTTTATTTTATCCTTTATATTTTATGTCAAAGGTGTCGATAAATGAATAAATAAAAGATTCTTTTGCAACAGTCGTTTGTAAGATACCATTGTTCTCTCATTTAAAAGTAACACTTTGTACATTCGATGCACGAGACGCAAACACTGGATACCTTTGACTCGGTTCCGATGAAATTTTAATGATGCACAAAATCGGAAACTCGTTCGCTTTTCGCCCTGTTGTGTTTCGGCTGGTTTTACACCGCGATGTGCAACGAGAAACCGCGTTTCCATTCATAAATTAAAACGTATTCGGACCAATTACATTACGGTTCACCTTACGCGAAAATTAGTTGGGCCGAATTTTATCGGCCAATTTTTATTTAACGTTACCCGATATTTGGGAAATTCTTTTATTATATTGAAATTCTGATCAAACCGTTTTTATCCACGGCTAATTTTTTTATTAACCGGATCGTTGCATCGTTCAAGTTTAATTTTTTAGAGTGGTTCCAAAAAAAAAAAAAAAAAAAAAGAAGAAGAAGCTCTTTCGAAATTCGGATACGAGGATTAAAAAACTAGGATTGTATCATTAATTCATTTTTCGACAAGTGAGTCGTAAAAATCTCCATATCTTACAAGAAAATTCCTCTATTTTGATTTTAAAAAGATTTGATTTTAATAAAAATTCGCGTGCAGATAAAATATAATGAAACCAGACTGATCGTTATACGATGAATTAATCATGAAATCTCTTTGAGCGCGTGAAATTAATCTTTAAATTTTATGATTTTTTTTTTTTTTTTTCATATTTTGTATGTAATTTTACGAAACATTACGAAATTATAATCCACTATGATCTCACAATGTTGCATATAAAGCGGAATCATTGTTGGTTTCGATAATTTATTAATTGAACTCGCGTAAGATATATAAATATTTCTGTAATTTAATTGTACGTTACAAATGTGTCGAGCTTTAATAACGTTAAAATGACTCGCTTTGAAAATATATCTTGTTTCATATTTCACTTAAATATAATCGATTCTCTTAAATATATCAAAAGTAATAATTAATGAATATAATTTAACGAGAAAGATTCACCGTTATTCAAAATGATTATCAAAATGAAAATCTTTGTTTTTTGAACTTTGTTTCTTTTCCAATTTTCCAATCGATTTTAAAACGATTTCAAAATTGTTTCGACCTCCTCTTTCCTTTTTTTTTTTTTTTTTTTTTTTTCCCATTGATCGAATTCATGATTGTTGTCGTGGCTTTGAGGATTTCGCGGCCACACCAAAGGATACAAAAGTTTAATAAATTCATTCATCGAATTTAATACGGTGGAAGGGCATACGTGCACGCGAGCCCGCTTATTGCCAACACAACACATATTCAGCAATTTGTTCGCGTTCGATGAGATATCCCGTTCTCGCAATTTATCCGTTTGGCAAAATGACAATTCGACGGTTTGTCCCATCGTCGAAGGTCGTCGATTCGATACCGTCCTATCCGTTCGCTTCCATCCAATATATATATATATATATATTTTTTCCATCCTCGTAATAAATTCGTTTATCTTCCACCATTCTGCATTTTTTTTCACGGTCTCGTTTGATTAACTACGAACGGATCGCGTGATTTCCGGAAAAAATTTGGGGATCCACCGAGCGGTACACTTTTCAGCCTACGCTATTCATGGAGAAAAAAAAAAAAAAAAAAGAAAAAACGGGAAAAAATGGACGAGCATCGTTCCTTTTTTTCCGTGTCGATCGTTCGAATTTCCACTTTCGTAACTCGCGTTTGTTTTTCCGCTCGGATGTATAACGAGTCGATATTAAGAAAACAACGAGAGAATCCTGGAAACGGCGGAGAAAGAACAAAAAAAAAAAAAAAGTTAGGAAACGAGAAGTAATGACGAAACTAGGGGGCACTAAATGCCAAGGAAACCGAGAGAAGGAAGGCAACGAATTAATCATTTTTTTTTTTTCTTTCTTTCTTTGCCGTGCTCGAAAACACTGGTTGATAAAAAATATTTCTTTCGAGAGAAGAAAACGAAGCTTCAACGAACGGAATCCTCTTGATAAAAACGTGCTTACGATTTCTAATAGCTTGTTGTACACTTCTCGTCCGATGTTGCGAGAAATTTTGCTCCGATTATTCCGTAAATTGCGACAAGCATCCGAAGCGTACGAAGGTAGGGAAGGTATGAAGGAAAACATGGAACGATATCCATTCGATCGTTTTCATCTTGTGTTTCAACTCTGCTGCTAGTTAATAGAAAAAAAAAAAGGGAGGAAGGGGGAACAAAGATCCCTTGGAACAAGAAACGACGATAAAGAAACAGAAACATTGAACGATGAGAAAAAGTGGAAACGTAAGTAAGGAAAGATAGAAAAATGATAGAAAACCGAGGACGAAAATGAGAAACATAGAATGGAGAGCGCGACTAAAACGAATACACTGTGCATTGAACAGTGTTACATGGAATAATATGTACTTATTCCGTTAGGGAAATGATCGAAGATGGATAGGATCGAAGATGTGTGTGCGTGTATATATATATATATATATATATATGAGAAGAAGCAGACGCACGCGCGAGTACAGGCCAACTCGAGTTGAAACATCCATTGCATCTGTAATGTCATCCCAATGCCTCCTGCAAGCCTCTCCTCCTTGGTTCTTGCCCTCATATCACGCTCACTGACAATACATCTTCGATGGCTGTGAACCTCGGAGTTATATCCAAGAATCCCATCACGAAATCCGAATAATCGAAGAACGTGCGCTATTTCTTGTCTCGTGCCTTCGTGATCCGAGAATCGGATGGCCGAGAGAAGAAATATAACGTATTTCAACTGTTTCTACTACCGATTTTACCATCCATGTGCCGAATTTAACCAAGAATTTTATCGCGAAATTCGAATAATAATAATCGAACGCGACTCGTATATCTCCTGTGTTTGAGAGTCGAATGGTAAATGACCGAGAAGAAAAAGAAACGATACGAGAATTTGATAATTTGGAAAAGTAATATTCTTTTTTCTTTTTTTTTTTTTTTCATTTTTAAAGATACGTTGAAATATTCGAAGCATACATTTTTTGATTATGTTTTACGTATATAATTTGTATTAACAGAATTTAAAAAAGTACGGGGATGGGACAAAAGAAATCGTACGAATGTAATAATGGAAAAAATTGCGTTGAATTTTTACGGAAAATCGGCCGTCAACGAGAGATTCTACGATTTTTTCCGTTATAACAACTTGAAATCGTTGTCGAGATTGACCGATTGTTTGCTCCAACAACGACCATTCTTCCCGCGACAAATCGAAGGAAATTACCGAGCCTCCATAGTGATATGGGAGGGGGGAGGGAGTCGGTATGCATTGAAATTTCGACAATCCTGTAAAAATCGGGTTTCCAGAGGTGGTCAGAGGGGCTATGGAAGCCAGCTAGAACGCGATTGATCTGCATTGTAATGGGAAAATTTGAAAGTGCTCGCACTTTGGCGTACGCGCGAATTACCAAACCATTTTCGAGAAAATTCCGCGCAGAAAAATGCGGTTGTTCGGAGCATAGGGAATGTCGATCTGCATTTTAATACGAAAACACACGCGGGCGCGGGATGGAGAAGATAGAAATGTTGTTGAAAACGAAAAGGATAGAACGGTTTCACTTGCGCCGGGTGGGCAAGTTGAGCGCAGTTTTACAGAAATTCGCCCCATCGAAATTCATACCCCGTCTCTCTCCCTCTCTCTCTCCCCCTCCCCTCCTCTTTTATATAAATTTCACATCCCGAAATTAAAGATTTCTCCAACGTATTTTATTTTATTCTCCAACGCAAGAATTTTTATTCTCTGTAGTCTCGCACAACCCTCCGACTCGAGAGCGGGCATCGTTGAATTAAATAGAACGAATCATTAAACATGAACCGAGCATGCTCAAACAATAAAGGGATCGTTTTAAAACCGCT